CGTGTGCAACTAATGCAAAAGGAGTTAGGCCGGTCTTAAGTGCTTTCAAGAACTTCATTTAAATTTTCAGGTGTTTTCTCAACCATTGATCATGGACGTTTTGAATGTGTAGCCAACTTCATTTTTAGGCCGCATAATTAATGTTTAGGACATTTTTGTTTGTATTGAATGCCAGTGTTTTGGAGACCAGGTAAAAATATTATTTGATGAATGATGATTATATTATATTTTTCCTAAGACTCTGATATTGTTGAAATTTATTTTCTGTGTTTTATTCTTTATTATATTGTTAATAAATTGGTTAAGTTCAAAACCTTTTATTTGTCTTCAATGTCTGCACAACATGATATCTCAGGGAGCTTTTATTGCTACTACTGCTAAATGTTTAATTTTTTTTTCAAACTTTAAACTTTGCTTTAGCATCAGATAGAAAACGCGCTAGAACTCGCACGCACTTTCTCTCTCCCTCACCCGCGCACTTCGTGAGCGCGAGAGATGGAAAGTGCGCGAGCGAGACATATATAGAGAAAGTGTGCGAGTGCTCTCTCGCTCGATTGCACACTCTTTCGTTGGCGCATTCTTTCGCTCCCGCACACTTTCTATCTCTCTAGTTTTCGCACTCTCTCTCTCGCTCGCGCAATGTATGTCATTCTCTTGCCACTTCGCAAGTGAGAGAACATACACGAGCAAGGAAGAGGTAGAAAGTGTGCAGGCGACAGAGTGTGCCATCGAGAGAGAGAAAGTACGCGGGCGCGAAAGAGAAATAGAGAAAGTATGTGAGCAAGAGGGAAAGTGTGCAATCAAGCGAGAGAAAAACACGGAAAGTTCGTGGGCACGAAAGAGAGAAAGTGCGCGGGCTCAATAATCTATCTCTAGATCACGCACTTTTTAACTCTTTGTCACTTTCGCTCGCTTGTGCACTTTCTCTCTCACTCGCTCGTGTACTTTCTCGCTTTCGTGCACTTTCTATCTTTCGCTTGATTGCACACTTCCCACTCTCTCGCACTCTCCGTCATTTGCGCACTTTCTCTCGTTCGCGTACTTTATCTGTCTCACTCGCGCAATTTATCTCACTCTCTTGTGCATTTTCTCTCTCTCTCGCTCACACACCTCCCGATTGAGATAGAGATAGAAAGTGCACAAATGAGAGAGATGGAGAGAAAGTGAGCCAGCGAGAGAGAATGAAAGATAAAGTACGCGAACAAGAGAGAAAGTGTGCGATCGAGGCAGAGAAAGCGCGCGGGCACGAAAGAGAAAGTGCGTGATCGAGAGAGATAAAGTGCGCGCGAGTGACGGAGAGAGTGCACTCACTTTCTCTCTCGCCTTGCTCACGTACTTTAGAGAAAGTGTGCAAGAGAGAAATATAAAATGTGCATGCGAGATAGAAAGTGCGCACAAAAGAAAGTATGCGAGCAAGCGAGAAAGAATGAAAGAAAGTACGCGAGCGAGGGAGAGAAAGTGCGCAAGCAAGAGAGTGCACGAACGAGAGATAGAAAGTGCGCGGGGGCAAAAGAGAAATAGAAAGTGTGCAATCGAGGGAGAGAGCTACAGAAAGCGCGGAGAAAGTGCGCAAGCGATAGGGAGATGGAGAGAAAGTGCACGATTAAGAGAGATGGAAAGTGCGCAATTGAGTGAGAGAGATAAAGTGCTTGAGTGAGAGATAGAAAATGTGCAATTGAGTGAGAGAGATAGAGAAAGTGCTCGAGTGAGAGATAGAAAATGCGCGTGCGAGATAAAGTGCTGGCTCGAAAGAAAGTGCACGAGGGAGAGAATGTGCGAGAGCGAGAGAGATACAAAGCGCGCAAGTGACAGAGTGTGCGAGCGAGAGAGGGAAAGTGTGCGAACTAGAGAGAAATAAGGAGAAAGTGCACGAGTGAGTGATAAAAAATGAATGAGAGGGAAACTGCACAAGAGAGAGATAGAGAGAAAGAAAATGCGCGAGCGAGAAAGTGTGCACGAGAGAAAGAGAGATATCTCACTCTCTTACGCACTTTCTCTCTGAAAGCGAGAGAGTTTGAGACAGCGCATGAGTGAGAGAGAGTGTGGGTGAGTGTGAGAGAATGCACAAGGAGAGACCGAAAGAAAGTGAGAGAGGGCGCGTGCGAGAGAGGGAGTGCAGGTGAGAGAGTGTGAGATTGTGCGGGAGCAAGAGAGAGTACGCGAACGTGAGTGAGTGTGAAAGAGAGCGTGAGCGGGAGTGAGAGTGTAAGAATTGTAAAAATTGGAGGCTCCCTTCAGCCCACCTGGACACGAGTGTCCCCATATAGCTCAAAAGAAGGGGCCCCATATCTCCACAAACGAGGGCAGTCAGTAACCCAGCCACCCCCAAGCAACAAACAAAAATACTAAATCAAAAATAAGTAAGCACATCTAACACAAAATTACAGACCAACAAACAAACAAATCCATAAACACAAATTCACAACACAGAACACCACAGATATAAAACCCATATAAATACAAAATTCAATTTTAACAGATTCCTACTAGAGCCCTATTTTCATTCATAAACTCCATTAGAGCAATAGAATATGATTTAAAAACTTTAAAATTAATGACACTTACATTAAAATCAGTAATGTTAAAAATCTGTCTAATAGGGGCTGTTAAACTACAATCAACCACGAAATGCCTAGCATCACCATCAACCTGACAACTACTACATAATTTATTTTCCTGTAGATTAAATCGGTTGAAATAGAACGGAAACCTACCATGTCCAGTTAAAACCTAATTGACATCAATATTGCTCATACATTTCATTTGATTTGTGATTTTAATTAGTTCCATATATCCTTTGTTTTTAGGTGAAGAGAACCACTGTATTTTCCATTTGTTAACGTAAAATTTTTTCATTCTTCGAATTGCAATTCTCTTCGAACCTGTTACTTCAATATCCATTGCACTGACATTTGAGACTGCCTGCTTGGCCAGGCTGTCGGTCCTCTCATTACCAATATTTAACCTAATGTAGCTTAATATTTAAATATGAACTCAAAGTTTCTAAATGACTCTTAATTTCAACAATTAAATAATTGAAATCGTCTGGGCGGGAGAGCGCATGGAGAAGTGACAGGCAGTCAGTGTAAATATTTACAGATGTGGGTATAAACAAGGTACTTTTAATCCATAATAAGGCTTGTTTGAACGCTTCACTTTCTGCCTGGAAAACTGAATTATATATGTTCAACTTAAACATTCTATAATCCACCTCAGTTCCATAGTAAAAAACAACAAAGGCAGCTCCTACGCTCCCTCCGACCCCAGAACCATCTGTATAAATATCAAATACATCAACAGTTGGATTACATTTATCAAAAACAAAATCAATTCTATTGAAAGGATGTATTAAATGAATATTAAATTTTTCAAAAACATTCTTTGTAATTAAATAATCTTCATACATTTTGAATTCCATTCGTCCAGTTCTAAATAAAAATTTCTCATAATAAAATTCGTATAAAATTGAGAGAGGAGGCAGCCCGGCCATCATAAAGACGGCCTCGGTTGGCACCATTCTGAAGCATCGGGTTAAAGATCTTCTTGGTTGATCGTCTTATAGAGATGACGATCAATACTAATGTTAATTTATACTGTCAAAAATACCGATCACTTCCAGCAATGGTCTTCATTGGGTCATAATTCAAAAAAATAAATTTAAGTGCTTAAAATTAAATCACATCTAATCCAATGATAATAGATGAAGAATACAAACAATAAAATTAAAGGAAATAAAATTCTTTACGAGTTACTTTTATTCGGTCTACCGGAAAGTTCTCTCCATTTTTGGAATAAAACCAAATACAAATTTTTCTTACCGTCAATGAACATTATTAAATAATATAACTGCTATTATTATTAATGACTTCTTGCCAGTGTAAGGACAATTTGTATATCCTATTTTTGAAAAATGTATCTTTTGATGCTAAATACGGAACTAGTGCTTATTTCATATCTTCTTCATTTTTCAGTTTTTTGCCCATCAAAAAATTTTGTAAGGACAAAAACAAGTGATAGTTGGAGGATGCCAAGTCCAGGGAATATGGTGGATGTGTCAGAATTTCCCACCTTTGATTTGCAATTTTTTGAAGAGTCCCCCAAAGCAGCATATGGCCTGGCATTATGATGTACTTATGATGTACTATCGAACATCACCGGCCTTGGACTGCTGTCTTTAAATTATCCAGTTGGGGGGGGGCTGATAACACTTATCTGAATTAAGCTTTTTGTTTGGTTTTCAAACCTCATAATGTATCGGTTCTCGAATGTCCTGCCATATACACAACATTCTCTTATTTAGAGTCAAATTTGGTTTAGAGGTGGAAAGTCAAGGTTAATATGCCCTTTTTCTTACAATGTTTCCATAGGTAATCCACTTTTCATCCCCAGTTATCTGGTTTAAAAAGGGCTCGATTTTGTTCTAAGCAAGAAGAGATATGCACACAATGATCCAAATTCTTCTCACTTAGTTCATGCGGCACCCAGCTTTAATATTTCCACACCAATCATATGTTCTGAATATGGTCCAAAATGGTTTGCTGAGCTGTCAAAAAAGGGTCTTGCTCCAACAGAGTCTTCGATCAAAGATGATCGCCTAGAACTTGATTTATCAGAAACCTGGATATCACTCGTTTCAAATTTTTCGAACTATCTTCCGCATGTCCTATCAGAAACTGTACCTTTATCAAACACTTTGAATAAATTTCTATATCCTTCTGTAGCATTTCTTTCTTACTGAAATTCATATCAAATACAGTGGCATAAATGAACTTTATCAACAGCCATGGGTACACTATCACTTCATACTTAAGACTAATGTGAATCAACTTTGTTTTAATTAAATTTCCTATGTCAGTATGTATACATTAATGATAAAAATACACGGTTGAACATGCACCAAATAAACATGCGCTTATGTGTCAAAAATTGTCGTTAAAATGGACAGAACTTTCTGGTAGATCGAATGTAAACTTAAATTGTCACCAAAACACAATTCTTACCTTGTTCGATTCATTAGTAAGCATTTTAATTATGTCTTCTACATCTCCATTCTAATTCAGGAAGGAAAGAACAGAAAAAGAAAATTACATTAAAATGGTAATTAAATCTTTTTAACAGCAAATTTTTATTATTATCTAATAGTTAATCTAGAAGCAATATATATTATTTTAAATTATAAATTCTGAATGAATTTTAAATATAAATTCTGAATTCTGAATAGTTACACTGCCTTTCTCCCCTAAGCAATAGCTACCCAGTCAGGATATCAACTGTCAGTGTTCAGCAATCTTATCTACTTAACTAGCACTGGGCCAGACTGATGAAAGAATTTTTTCTTTGTTTATGAATATCAAATTTAAGTATATCCAAATTTATTAACTTAAGTGATCAATGTTTGAATTCTTCAAAAATAACTAAAATTCCAATCATTTTATTTCTTCTGCATTTGCACACAATGATCAGTTGTTTTAAATCAGTTCTATCACCCAATTAAATAATTGAAAATGATTTACTTCTTACCAATAAATCCTACAAATTAAGCAATATTCAGGTAAAGATAGTAAAGTTGATAAATAGGCTTCTTTTCTCATTTTATAAATACCTCCTGTAGTTTACAGCCTGCAATACGTTTAAGGGGGAGGGAAGGTCAGAAATACCTTCTCATCAACAGACATGATTAATAGTTCAACATTTTATTAATAACTTGTTTGTAATTCTAAGATTTCAATTTCCATAATCATAGATGTTTTTTAACGATTTGAGCATACAAACAGGAAGAGCACTTTCTTATTATTTTAATGTGTACTTTCCACATTTATGTTTTCTTTATTATATATTTCTAACTTTAAATACTTACACATTTTTAACTTTAACTACCACTATTTATACATTTCTAACTATTTATTTAACTATAACTATTTATATATGCAATAAGACTGCATCATTATTGTAATAAGATGACTTGGTGAGAGAGTTGCAATGAATTGACATTGTACAGGTCTAACTGCATAGTTAGAAAGACGAATGCATAAACCAAAAAAGCTTGCAGACATGGTCTAAATTCCACAAATAATTTTATTTCTTGATAATGCACATCATCACTATGGGTGTGCTATGCACTCCACAATTTTAAACAGCTTACATTTCTTAAACAATAGATGAAAATGGAAAAATAAAACTCTGCATGGAGAGCAGCAAGGCAATGCGACAAAAAGAAGCAGAAGAGGAGAAGATGGGGTGTTGCGACACAATTACCTTTTATACCATTACATTTCATATTAATGCCCAGATATCCTTTAGACTCTTTCCAAAAATCAATGGCTAGACTTCAAAGCTCCATTTGACGCATTGGAGCTGCATTTTGAGGAGAAATGTTTAAAAGGCTACTACATGGACTACAACAGGCTTCAGTTAAAATAACATCAACATAAGCCCAGAGAAATACTCCAAGAGCTCACCACAACTGTTAAAAGGCTGACTCACCTCACCTTTCCAGAATGCCCGACAGAAACAAGGGAAATCCTGTTTCTGCAGTACTTCATCAATGGAATCCGGGATCTGGAGGTACAGAAGGCTCTATGAATGGCAGATTTCAAACATGTAAAAAGCACTCTGATGTATGCCACGAAATTCGAGGCAGCCCAGCAAGCAACTCTTAGAGACCACCACCCAATCAGAGCTGCTCAAGTTCAAGAGCCAGTAGTGATTGCTCCAGTGGTCGTCAACTCTAAGAACTTCGCGGACCACTACATATAAAATTTTATATTTGGCGGATGACTAATATGAATTTTTTAAAAAAGAACCTTAAATCAGACCTTAAAAACAATACTCAACTTTCCAATACATGTAATTCTAATTTTCATTTGTTAATATAATTTTCGAAACATCTGGTGTTCAGCAGCATGCCTTTATGCAAATTCAGGCTACGCCCCTGATTATGAGTAACAATTAAAATACTATTAACATCTCACTGATACACCTATTGACAGAGAAAAAGTGTTATTAACGACTACAATAGCATATGTTTGTAATTTAAAAGCAAAGAGAATTGCAATTCGTGCTATTATTGATAACAGCAGGATATCCATGGATGCCAATTATCAATTTCAAATGTCGCTAGATACACCTGCAAAAGTAGCTAAAAAGTCGCTAAAATTAAAAAAAAATATATAATCCATATTCCATAATAGGTTCTGTTACTCATCATTTTTTAAACCGAATCTTCATAAAAATATAAACATTGCCCTAATTTTTCTGCGGATTATCAAAAAGTTTTCACAGACCTCTGGTTGACGACCAATGCTCTAGACGATTTAACCTGACAATTCAATGCCTTAGACTGAATAGGAGTGACAAGAAACCAACCCTAAAGTGCTGGAACTGCAGTGCTGAACTATGTACAAAGGAACTGCAGAAAACCCCAGGGCATGGTAAATATGACCACTTCCCAGAAATCAGAAATGACGCAGGAGACAAATTAATGGCCATCTCATGGAGTGGAGTTTGAAAGATAAGGAGAAGTCCCATTTTAAAGTGCTTCAGATTTCTGCAGTGAATGGCAGCAATAATGGACTGTTCATCACGGGGCATAACAATAGAGTTCCTTGCAATATGGCCATCAATACAGAAGCGAATGTTATCCTCATTCAGAAAGATTTAGCTCAATAGTTTAGCTGTTTTGAGTTACCCATCAGACAGGGTCTGGTGATAAAATTGAAATTGTTGGAAAGTTAAACATCACATTTGGAAGTACAGCCAATCGTCACACAGTATATGTGGCAAATATTACAAATCCTTGCATACTCAGATTAGACATTTAAGGAAATACAATTTTTCCTTGGACTTTAACAAACTGTATTCAGTCTCTGAAGATATAACTGTCAATGGAAGGAATTCTCACCTGGAAATGCCAATGCCTTATCTAGAATACCCAGAAAGCTGCCGATATTGTTCTAGGGTCAAAGCAAAACAGGAGCTGCTGAATCCAGTCACATGACAAGTTACAACTTCAACATCGGCTGATCGATGCGCACGGAGTGATGAAGACCAGTTGACAAACAACATTAAACCCATAATTTATTTAATGGAATATTCAAATAGGAAATCTATTAGAACAGGACATTTCGATTTTTAGTCCTATTAAAAAACAATATTGCTTTCCAAAGTCCTTCATTTGTGGTGTGTTTGTGCTTAAAAACAGCTCTTAGGCCAAAGACACAGCAGTCCATAGGTACAACTCTTAGGCAGGAATATGTCGAAAAGATACATAAGTAATATCTGTATCAGTCTTCATGTTTTCAAGGAATGCAGTGATGCTTTTTGAAGTACGACTTGTTACTTTGCTTGGTTAAGTTTCATTCTTTCAAAGCCATTGGGATAACGAAATGGAATTTCTTTTGTACATATCAGATGCAAAATTTATCTTGGTAGTATGTTGAGTTGATTTTAATATTTTTCAACTGCTATTCTTATCTTTAATTTTCCCATGTTAAAAGAATCTTGTGACAATCATAAACCCTTTACTGGAACTTTTTTTGTGTTGGTGGAACCAGGTTTGTCACTTTTTTCCTTTGTTTTCAATAATAAATAGGGCTTTTTGTTGTATGTGTGTGTCCAGTCATTTAGGTAAACACATGCTTCCTGAAGGGTCACAATGTATTTCTATTTATTTCCTCCTAAAGATTTCATACAAATAGTTCTGCATTGAGCCATATGCAGGCTCATATAAGCATATGCTTGGCAAAAGCCAGTGAACATTGTTTTCTAGAACTTTTAAGGTGCAAGTCTTGGTTTATTATTTTATTTATTGTTACTACAGATATAGTTGAAGACTCTGAAATTGATTATTCTGTTGGCGGAATCTCTCTTGTTATCAAATATTTAACTTTAGAAACAGTACATACCTCTTTTGGGAATTCGTTTGAAGTCTTTTTCCAATGTTTAATGACTGACAATTCTTCCAATTAATAATGTTGCTTATTTTGCAGAGATTTTAAAATCATGCATTTCACAATATTTTCAATCTCAGATTAGGAACATTTCTCTTCCAAAAGCCCCAAAACATATGCTTTAATCCCTAGCTTGTTTACACGTGACATTTTGAAAGAAGAATAAATTAAAAAAGTAACAGAAAATATTTCTTATTTCAAATTATAAACAGTTGTCAGAAATTTTTATTTAAGACATTTACTTTTAAGACATTACTTTACTAAGACATTTACTTTTTACAATTATTTTTTATAAAAATTGTTCTAAAAATATCTAAACACTCTTCGTATTACTTAAGGGTCTTTTAAATCTGTAGGTGCTAGCCTAAGAACAAATTAATTTTTATCAGATATTATTCCAAACAATGAATTATACATTGAAATTTTCTTAGTTTTAGAACTTCTGAAATAGAAAGCTCTACCAAAAAACTCCCTTTTACACTCTGAAATTACTTTTCAAATGGAAGATACACCACTATGAGGAAGGGAAGGCAGGCACTTGAAATTCTAAACTTTTCACACAACCAGAATAGTAAGAACTTTAATAATCAATTGATGTAAACTTCAAGTATGAAATACTCCAAGCAAGAGTACGAGTTATAAAAAGGATTAAAAGTACTGGATGTAATTAAAAGATTTTTTTATAGAAAATGTAACTTTAATACAACTATAACATTCATTCATAAAACACTGATAACATTCATTCATAGACAACTGTTAACATTTCATTCAGTACAGATGTATATTCTAATTTATGATAGACATGATTTATTTGTACAAATACCAGACATTTGGCCACTAAGCCATCATTCTTGATTTTGCTTCCCAATACCTTAAGAGCTATAGAATTAAAAGATAATAGTGCAGAGCATTCGTCAATATGTTCCTTATCAATGGACTGTATAGAGCTACAAAGAGTACAGACTAAATAGTCCTTAATTCGAATTTTAAAAGCGATAGACACGTACGCATTAGCAAGTGACAACTGTTTTAGTTGAATATACACAAAATGTAAATAGCAAATTATTACTATTTTCATTTTGAAAATTAATTTCAGAACTTTTTATATCAATGGCACATTAAATTTTATTTAAGATATACAGTCAAAAGTCTTTAATCTGGTCGTCCATAATCCGGAATAATCTATAATCTGCACCTCAAAGCTACAAACTTTCTGTATGCATTTACGCATGTGCATTTAATGCATAACGGACGGTATAAGCTAAGCTAAAATTATCTAATTATCTATTTTAGTTAATGTTGCAGACTGTGTTGTTCTTTAATCTTCTAATTGGATCCGGCTTATTATTTTTTGCAGACTGTTAAGAGCAATTTTTATAAAAGTAAGCTTGAACTTTCGATTATGTCAAAAAGAATTTCCGATTCTGGAGCTGCCAAAGGATCTACAAAGCGAAAGCATGTTTCGATGTCCATCAAACAAAAAGTGAAATTGCTGCAAAAAATGGATAAAGGCATATCCTTTGTTTCTCTAACCATTCAGAAATCTGTTTATCAATTTCACGCTGCTCTGGGGGAGGGGACGTCGCGGCGCGCAATGAACTGGAAGTTGATCTGTCAGCACTATCCTTATCTTCAGGGCAGATGTTTTTATTTTATTCGGCTTATAATTCCTTACTAAATGTAGTATTTCATCTCGATGTACTCCGTCTTTGATATGATTTAAATCAAATTCCTCGTCATTATAAATATCACGAATACACATCAAATAGTTTTCTGGTTGCAATTTTCTAATTTCGACTATGCGTAATGTATGCTTTACGCATGCATGCGTTTAAAGAAATGTTTAATAAAGTAAACAAATAAATATTAAGCTTTTTTTTTTGTAAATTTTGATACCCTTTAGATCATAATTGCTCTTTATTTCATAAATTACGGTTTCATATTTTTAATTTTATAATTTCAGCATGCCATCTTACCAGATTTAAACTGATGATCTATAATCCGGAATCGCCGAAGTCCCGACGAGTCTAGATTAAAGACTTTTGATTGTATATAAAAGAAAATAGAAACAAAATAATACTGATGAAATTATACCTGCTTGCTAAGTTCAGCAACACACTCTAAAATTACCTCATCAACTTTCACAATTTTGGTAAAGAAACATTTTACACAAGCCAAAAAGTGAGGTATCTGTCTTTTCTGATTGATTCGAATTAATTCACGGCCAGCTTTGCTTAAAATAGCAGTAGCATCCAGATTGAAAGTCTGAAAAATATAATTTACATTTAAATCAAATCTGTTTTACTATTATATAATGATTCTTATACATAAAACAATACCATACAAAGAAATAAGTGTATAAAACTTTGGCTCCCTCACACATGAATGTGTTATATTTACATAATTTTAATTTTACCACATAAAAAAGGAAATAAAAAATTGTGCAGTGTATATCAGTTCTGAGGATTAGGTTATTTAATTACGGGAAAGCACACTAGGGCTATCTGCCTAAGGGGAGGGATGCCTTTATGGAGGACTTTCTAAGGGAAACTGGCTCGTATACGTTACACAGGTGACACGTGATGGAGGACGGGGACGCCTGGCGTCTAACAGAGGTAAACAGGCATATGTCCCACACCCTCCCCTATCCAGACGCAACAACTCCCTGTGGCCCCATAAGGACGCACTGGGAGTTTATCGATACTTCAACATAAATTACTACTTACTCATAAATTACTGCCTACTGATAACATATAAATTCTGCTTTTTCGTAAATTATCGCATACACATAAGTTACTGCTTGTTGTACCTGAATTTGCTTACACATAAATTATGCTTACACATGAATACTGCTTACACATGAAATACTGCTACTAATATGTAATATGTGCATGCTCAGTTACATATACATGCTACATTACACGTTAATTTGATACATAATTACACATTATTTGATACAAATACTGAAAAATATGCTTACACATTAATATGATACACAATTGCATAATACATTGTACCTATGGACAACATTCAGATCGCAGTTCACTCATATTGGGTTATTCAGTGCGTAGAATGAAACAAAATGCTGTTTCAGTTAAAGAATATATCTACATAGTTGCAATGCACCGTTGCGTTACACACATATACTGTTGCACTATACATAACGCTATTTACACATAAGTAATGCCTGCTGATGACACATAATTATTATTAATAAGTTACTGCTTACACTTAAAATTTGGTTACACATTAATATGATACATTATTACATATAGCATTGACATATGGCAACATTCGGATCAAGTTTACACGTATTTGGTTATTCAGTGCGGAGTATGAAACAGCTTGTGTTTCAGTCAGGGATTATATTACATAGCTGCATTGTGCATAGTTTGCGTTATACCATTGCATTACACATATTCTGTTGCATTGTACATAAATTACTACGTACTCATGAATTGCGGCCTACTGATGATACATAAGTTCCTGCTTACACATAAGTTACTGTTTACAGACTAGTATGATACATAAATACTCTAAATTACTCCTTACACATAAGTTACTGCTTGCATATGAAATACTGCTTGCACATTATGTTAAATAGATACTCATTAATTACTGCTTACACATAAGCTGCTTGCACATGATTTGCTGCTTGCACAGAAGATACTTACATATTAATATGATACATGATACTATACATTACCTTACACATTAATATGCTTACATATACACATAAATATATGCATTATATTACACATTATTACTCCTAAATTACTGTTTACACATAAATTACTACTTACACTTGAATTATGCTTGCAATAGAATGCTACTTACACTTTAAATGATACATAATTACATACTCATTACATTACAATTAATATGATACATGATAACACATTAATATAATACAAATACTGCTTACACATTATGATACATATGCCTACGCATAAGTTACTGCTTGCACCTTGTTACGCTTATGCATAAATTACATGTATAAGATTACATACATATTCAGTTGCACTGTACGTAAATTACTACGTACACAGGTGCTTTGCCTACTGATGATGTATAAGTTCCTGCTTACGCAAAGTTACTGTTACATATGAAATACTGCTTACCCATTAGTATGACATAAATACTCATAAAATTACTCCTTACACATAAGTTACTGCTTACACATTAGTGTGATACGTAAATACTCATTAATTACTGCTTACACATTAGTATGATACAAAAATACTCATTAATTTGCTTGCACGTAAGTTACTGCTCACACATATTCCTGCTTACACATGATTTTGCTGCTTTGTACAGACAATACTGCTTACGTATTAATATGATACATAATTACATATACCATTACCTTACACATTAATATATACTTAAATATATGCATTACATTACATATTATTACTCATAAATTACTGCTTACACTTGGGTTTACTGCTTGCACATAAAATACTACTTATACATCAATATGATACATAAATTACATACACATTATATACATACATTATTACATTACACATTACACATTAATATGATACATAATTAAGCACACACATTTGAAATACATGACAAATAAATATACATAGAGAAAAACACAGTTCAACACAAAATATACAAAACATAACAGTACAATGATACAAAGTACACACAATACGACATTAAACAGCATATACAAAAACATATATAAACATTACGTTAAAAACACACATTGCATTAAACACATAAAACATATAAGGTGCACAGTTATAGTGGCAGTTCAGTATAGTTTCAGGGAAAGTACTTTACAGTGGCAGTACTAGGCACATTGCGCAGAATGTACGCAATACCCACAAGTGAAACACTAGCGGTATACAGCATGCAGTATGTGTGTTGCACAGTTTGTTAAGGCAGAATGCAGTCACTGAGACCATTATGAATAGCACTGTTTTATAATGGGAGGCAAAGGTCTTGGCCGTAGGCCTTAATGGTGTTAACGATTTTGCACACTGTGTTGATTGCCGCTTTATTTTTAAGGATAAACTTGTGGAAGGCAGGTATGTTCGTGGGTTCCGGGAAATGGTGCTGTTCTGTGAGTGGGCACCGGAAGATATAGTGATCGGGTTGTCCCCTCTTCCCCGCATACACAGCGATCCGTATTAGAAATAGTGCGTCTGTTGAAGTAGTCCGGGAAGGGACCATGCCCAGTTACAAAGTTAGTAAGTGGAGCGTTTGCTATAAGTCTCTCCGTTGTCACCATCGGTAGAAAGCCATACACTCTTCTTCCTGTGTTTCCATGTTCCCATACACTTTGCCACCACTGGACTGCTGTGCCTTTCAGCAGTCTTTTAAGATGGGCTTTACCGCTCGGCCACTGGTGGGCTTCTCAGTTCTGAGGGAAAGGGTAAAGGAAGCACTTAACGTGATTCAAAACTATATATGAACTAGAAATGCTAGTAAGCCTGGTGGCATAGTGGTTAGTGCATGGCGCAGCAGCACCACAGGTCCGGGGTTCGATCCCTGGGCCGGGCAAGATTGACTCAGCCTTTAATGCCTCGCTGGGGATCTTGTAGTACGAGTTAACAGTATCTTATACTATTGCTCTGGTAGAATAACTCATACTCTATGAAATTTGCTTGGGGTTTAAGCACTGGGGGGGAGGGGTCTTACGACAAGCTGAAAGCTTGTTCAGGGCATATGCTCATGACCTCGGGGCCCACGGTGAACAAAGCAGATTTCAGGAAACTGCAGGCCTTGGCTCACTAAGGCTGTTGCACCACTGAGTTCAGTTTTAGATATACTAGTATTATATTTAGTTATCGTTTTGAAATACCCATCCCTTAATTTTTATATTGCATACTGCTAAAGACAAAAGCAAAATTTCTTTTCAGGCTACATAATTTAAAACTGGAGATTCTTATCACCAATAAAAGCTTAAAATGAATTTAGGGGAAAAAATTTTTGAGGAAGGAGAAATTGATAGAATACTCTGCCGAGATAGATAATGGGATGACATCTGGCTGTTGCAATTACTTAGCCCTTTCTAGTACAAAAGACATGTTTACTTCCATGTAATACAGAAACATCCTTTTCAATCCCCAGAGGTTGGTATCTTTATAATCTATCCATTTTATTTTCCTCTTTATCTTCATACTCTTGGCTACAATCTGAAAAGTTTAATAGCCTTGAGATGCATATATAAAGGATATCAATATGAGAAACTCCAGAAACTTATTCTTGTAGAAAAACCCAATATCTGAATTCAGAGACTAAACTGAATAATAAATCAATAATCAAAAGGTTCTAAACCATACTTTACAAATGCTAAAAAGAAAAATATGTGAGGCGGTGAACTAAGTAAATAAATATGGCATGTATTAAAATAAAAAACCCATATTAATGAAAAATAGCAGGTAGTAACTCAGAGACAGAACAGAGAACTACTAATGATGGCATTAATAATAATTTGTAAAGCATGACAGAATATAAAACATGCAATGAACAGTTTCTAAACAGATAAAACATGGTACCTGAATAATCTTGATTGTGAGATCAAATCCTTCATCAGTGTTTACAGCATTTAATAGCACCTGAGAAAAGTAATATATTAATTAAACTCTATTTTATAACACAGTTTGCAAATTAAAAAAACAAAATAAAAAATACACTCAGAATTTGTTAACTCCTTTTTGTGCCATGCAAAATCAAGATATGTTAGCAACAGATTTTCATGTACTGTTACATAATTTGGTATTAGAAAATTATCTTTAATAGTTCAATTCAAAGATCTGAATTCCATAAAATAAATTAAGAATTTTTACAATAAAACACTTCAATAAATGGAGCTAAAAGTTTATAACAAATTGAATATTCATTCGGGAAATGTAACAGTAATCACAAGCGAGCTCAGCATCCTCTCAGCTTTCGAATTCCATTTACATTATCCGATAATGTTAAACTAATGAAAACAATTATGTTTTCGAGTTAATTAGCTTAGACTAGATTCATTAGTTACTCGGATTTACATTATATTAAAATATTTTAATTGTTTGTGCAAATAACATTTCAAAAGATTGCTAGTTAAATTTTAAACATTTCTTCAAAAGATGCATTTAATTTTCTAGCACATTTCAGATAACATAAATAATGCTAATCATTTGGTTAAGAACAACAAAATTTGATTCTTTCCATCCTGGTTCATTTTCAGAAAGCGGGATGGATTTGTTTTCCAAGCATTGTGCTTGATTTGCAAGAACAGTACTACTCTTGTATAATGTAAATATAAGCCAGTTTGCTTTAAAAAAATATCACCATTAACCCTCCGAGTGGCAAATTTTTCGAACTTGTTATATATTAACTAATAATTTAAGGCATTTTGCTTTTTTACTTTTCTTTAATAATGTAAAATTATATAATTGTGGAAGTTTTTAGAACTTGTATTTAAACAGCATATATTAGCTAAATTTGAATAACTTATATAAATTTAGCTAATAAATGCTATTTTTTATTTTCATAAACTTGCATTAAAGTTTCCGACCTCTATTGGCAGCACAAATCAACTGAAGTGGAAGGAACTTGTTTGGATGTAACTTTATAACAACCAATCAAAATTTCAGCTATTTTGAACACAAATTTTTGTTTGACAATTATTTTTGCGAGTCGATGCGACAGTTTTTTTGCAAAAATGGAAGAAATCGAGTATCCTGCTGTCATTAGATGCTTGTTTTTGAAAGGTAATATGCCTAATCACATTAACTCTTTCGCATCGAAGTCGCCTCAAATGCCCGAGCATTCAGACATCAGCTGGACACCCGGAAACACCTGAATAATTTCCTACCTATTGCTTTCCTCCATCACTTTACTGAATTGCTCATTGCTTTCAGGTGTTGTTAAATGACAAGTCAATCATTCTTTTGAAGCGACTAAAAGTAGTTTTATTTTAATGCACCGTTTTTTTCCTTTGTTCACTGTCAATGTTTAGCTTTCGATGCCCGAAGTTGCAATCCTGTCCCAAGAAGGAACTTCACACAGGGTAAAAGCATCCAGGAAAGAAGTTCTTGCTTTACTTAAGTAGGTTATTGTTAGCGCTGTAGTATTCAATTTGCGATGGGGAAGGAAAAGTATTCCAGGAGAAATTCGTAGACATGGGCGTTGTCGATATTTGTGGAAAAGAGATTTTTCCCTCTCTCGATGCGAAAGAGTTAAAGAAGGGTTGGACAGAGTGTACAGGGACTCTACAGCCTCATTTACTATTGTGAAATATTGGGCATCTGAATTTACATGTGGCCGTACCAGCCTGGGTTAAGATGAATGTTTCAGGATGACCAAAAATTGCAATCACTGACATTGTTAAAATCCACCAAACGCCTGAGTATTCATACATCGGTTGGACGCCCAAAACACATGAATAATTTCCTACCTAGTATTTTCCCTGATCATTTTACTGCATTGCTCATTGCTTTCAGGTGTTGTTAAATGACATGTCAATCATTCTTTTGAAGTGACTAAAAATAGTTATGATAAAAGTAGTAAAATGACGCTGGACGACAGTTGAATCTAGGCTAGAGAGATAAAGGCTATGAGCATGCCCAAAGAACATGTTTGACACACATTGAATCAAGATTTAGATATGCGCAAGCTGGCTGCATGTTGGCTGCGTTTGCTCAATTTGGAGCAAAAACGTCCAAATTGAGAACCGGAGAAATTTGCACCGTTCTGTTGGCGCAATAAATCGGAGTTTCTTCGACTATTAACTACTGTAGATGAAACCTGGATTCATCATTACAACCCAGAAACAAAAACACAGTCAAAATAGTAGACTGCAAAGGAAGAATCAGCTCCAAAAAAGGCGAAAACTGTTCCTCCTGTTGGGAAAGTAATGCTGAGATAGCCATGGGATTGTCTTAACACATAATCTTTTAAAGGGAAAAACCATTAACGCAGCATACTATGCAACATTACTTGACAAGATGAAGGCAGAAATTGCAGAAAAATGGGCACATTTCCAAAAGGTAAAAAATTTGTTTCATCAAGACAATGCTTCATCTCACATCTCAGCGGTTGCAATGGCAAAAATCCAGGAATTATGGTTTGAACTGCTTGACCACCCGCCCTATTTGCCAGACATGGTTCCAAGTGTTCCCCAAGCTAAAGAAGAAATCTGAGGACAAAGATTTTCATCAGATGAGGTTATGAACTATATTAATAACAACTTTGCAGATAACGATTTTGCATATTTGGGCGGGTTATAAGGATGGGAACATCATTGGAAGAAATGTGTAGACCAACAAGGAGATTATACCAAAAAAAAAAAAAAAATAATTTTGGAAAAAAATATCTTTTCTTTGTTAGGTCAGGAACTTTTTAGAGAGTCCTGGTAATAATGGTTGGTGATAAACAAGTTATAGCAATGCATATGATCGCTTTTGTGCTTAAGAAGGAATGCCTTCATGAAGAACTTGCAAAGCATATGAAAAAACTATAAAATAATGTCCTGCCACCCAATTTATTGTATGCCACATCTGATATAATATTAGTTTTTATCCAAAATACTGCATTATATGGAACAATTTAAACAAACATCAACCAAATAAGAAAATTATTCAGAAGATTTGATTAACTATTACTAAAAAAGTAGCAAGAAAAGATTTGAATTAAAAATGTCTCTCAGGAATATTGTTGCAAAATAGCTCATTATTTTTAACAAACACAACTGACATTTTATATTGATATATATAACAAATACAAAATACAAATACAGAATACAAATGAGAGTGAGTATCTTTATGCAATAACTTCTCCAAAATGATAGAGATTTTTTTCAATACTGGCCAGCACAAGTAGAATCAACAAACCGGTTAAATTCAAATGGCTAGGGTATGAGAGCAAGGTCTCTCCAAAAAAGTCCAACTTCAAAATGAGGGGGGGGGAGATTAGTTGGTTAATTATAAGTTTGTCACATGCAGGAGGTGTTTTTAGTACTTATAATCCTTTCTGAGTAAAGATGCATACTTTCATACGAGGTATCTTAAGTTTGAATACTGAAGCATCAAATGTTCCAGTTTTCATGTTTGCAAAAAACATTAACATGAATTTTTGCTGACTCTCTCGGTTGTATTATACAGTGAAACCTCGTTACAACAATATTTTAGGGACCAAATAAATATATTGTTGTAGAGAGGCATATTGTTATATTGAGGGCCCACATATTTGAGCATTTAATAAAAGTATTAATTATTATTATTTTATATACTACTTTTAAGTCTATTTAGAAATTAATTTGTAAATACTAATAATAGTGGTTTTAAATACTAAAAAAAAAATAAAAGATTTTCAGAAAATAAGCACAGAAATATTCACATACTAAACTTTTTATTGAAAATAATCCAATATTTTGTTGTTTATTGATTTTTTTACTTAGTTCCCAATACTGTATGCAGTGAGTCAGTGCACGAAAATGTTCTTCTTTGTCGACGGAAGGCTTGAAAAATGTCCTGAGAATTCACAGATTGAAGGCTCCTGAGATACGGACTGCGATGGACCTGTATTATCATCATCATCATCATCTCTTCATCATTGTTTCGTATCTCATCAGTAATTTCAGAGAGAAATCTTCATCATACTCCTGCGAAAACCATAAGATCTTCTTCTGCTGTTAAATATCTATACTAATTCCAAACTTTTTACTGCTTGTTTCCTCAAGTTGGGATACGGATTTTTTGATGTGCAAACACTTTGATCACGAGAGATCATTGTCTATGGAATTTTCATCATTATCAGATTCTTATCTTCATAACACAAAGACCAGCTTTTTTCCCATTCCGAATTTTTTCTGTACTTCCCCCAACTTCCAGCAATATTGTCACGCTTCCTTGACATTTACAGCTTTGAAGGGTCTTTACTTTATTTCAGTTTACAAGTATGAGCCCCCAACCGTTTCTGTAAATATCCTTTGAAGCATTAATTTGCCCATATCAAGAGGCTGTAAAACTGAAGTGCATTGGCAGGAAAAAGCAATTCGATATTTTGTAGCTTTGGAATGAGTGTGAGCACCGCGTATATAACAAAACGATTTTTTTTTCTCTTCTTCATTTCATTGTCTACTTCTGTACCATTCGGAAAAAATTTAGAAGTCATCCAACCTTCTTATTTGCTTTACTCTACGGGAAGACTTCACGTTCTTAAGTACCTGGCTTCATGATTTACCAAGACGAGAGGTTGTATTCTATGCGTTCCTGTCTATTTGTACCGAAGAACGTCAGTCTCTGCTTGATTTCTTCCCTCCATAACACTTTTCACCCTTGAATGAAATTTCATTGGTAGGAGTTGAAAAACGCCCAGCTTCATCTGCATATAAATGTCTTTGGAGCTACTTTTCTAAGATTTCTTTATCTTTTTGCCGCCATTCATATGCGTCGTTTATCGGGGCTGACTTTTTCTCTCGTGAACTTCTTGAAGTTATTCCATGACGATCTCGAACGATTAACCAACCATTGCTAGCTTTGAAAGTTTGTTCCCTAGCATTGCTGCAAATTTCCGTGTTTTGCATTAATAAAGGTCCTTTATTGGGAACATTTGTTTGCTCTCATCTTGAAACCATTTTAAACAGCGCATCAGTTTTCATTTGTCGCAACTTTCAGCGTTTTCGTCTGGGTTAATTTCATTTGAAGTAACAGCATCTTCGATTCTTTCTTCTTTAGGAACGTTCAACTGTAGATGCGAAATCCTGTTTCTTAGCCGCATCAATCTGGTTCTCCCTCATCAATATCATTGATAACATTCAGTTTATCTTAAAAGAATAGTTGCTGCGCCCTCATCTTAGGCGAATATCGCGTGAAAGAAAATTTAAACCCAATGTTTCATGTAGAACTCAAAATCATTAAGACTATAAACAACCTTTGAACTCACTTTTCAGTACGTCACTTAACAACACTCCGCCTGCATCTCCCCTGTTCCTCTAACAAAGGGCACGTGTTCTGTGACAAGGTGATCAGACAGGTCTAGATGTCCTTAAAACCTTATCAGAATTCCAAAGCTTACTGGGAATGAGACTAGGCACATTTACACTTCACCCCCCCTCACCACTTAATTCCAAAGTGGTCTTCATCTGTTTTTGAAATCTACAATAGCTATTTTCGGATAATGAATCCCAAATGAGTCTTAAAGACGGAAAAAACAAAAAAAAAAAAAAAAAAGCATTTGAAAATCAAATTTATTATAAGGGAGAAATAATACTGAAATTTAGTTGAAAAAATCGTTTTACAGAGGTTTATTGTTCTAGAGAATATAGCAATATTGAGGGGAGATTAACATTAGTTTATATGCAAAATCACCGGGACCACAAAACATTATTGTAGTAGAGGGAGTTATTGTTGTATTGGGTATCGTTGTAGCGACAGTTTACTGTATATGCATTGGCAGGCAAGTATCTCACAGCTGGATGTGCCACATATGAATCACCATTTAAATGCACTGTTAGGAGGAGTATTATTGTTTCTTATGCCTTTCTTCAGAAATCAATACATTTACATTAGGCCACTCACCAATAAACAAAACATTAAATTCAAACTCAACATCACCAAAATATTAAAAAATCTTAAAAATTACAACACTAAAATTCAAAGCTTTACAGTACCAATAAATCAAGACAAAAATTTCACAATTAAAATCTGAAAAATCTTCAGTAATAGAAGAGAAGCAACTGCGTGTTGAGGATACAAGATCCTCGGTCATCGAATACAGAAGAGCATCACCACTATATTGTTGTTAGGAGATATATAACCACATTTGAAACTTAAGATGGAATTTTAATTAGTATCTCTTATCGCCACTAGATGTAGCCCTATGTATGTTATGATGGAATTTATCGAGAATGTAGAATGTTGACCTTCATTTCACTGCATTATTTTTTATTTCTGGTATTTTGTTTCAGAATCAAATTGGAATCATGGGTTGAATAACGTAAATAAACAGAGCTGGCTATTAATTGTATTAGCTTATATCAACACATGGGATTTCTTGATGCATCTCAGTACTTTATTTTTGGTAATATGGGGATATATATCCTACTGTTTTAGAAGTTATATTCATTCCTCTTAGAGTTTGGCTTTTGTCATGGGGAATACTTTAGGAAACGTTTAGCAAAACATTTTTTATACTTCAATGGCAAGGACAATATAAAGTTTTCACATTAATTCTGACAACTAACCGAGTGTTCCTCTTATAATGTGCTAAAATTTATGTCAATTAGACCACAAATTTAATTTATGCAATTTTTTCACCAGTGTTTGACTAACAGTGCAAACTGCCTGTCTCAATATGATAGTGCATCCTATCAGCATACTATTCCAAGACATCAGATCAGTGACTGATGGAAAAAAAAAAAAAGTCATAAAAAGATACACCTGCAGTATGCTTCCTAAATATTATGATCTTGATACTATATCAAATCTTATTGCGAGGTCAAATATAGTGTCACACTTTTAAAGTCATAGCCAAACAAACACGATTTTGATATTTATATTTAATTTCACATTAACTCTATAATATTAGTTAAACTTATAATACCATTTCAAGTAAAAGCTTCACAAGCCCAAGTCATTTTTTTTACAAGTTTTAATATTTTTAAAGAACTTTCTCTGCCAGCGAGACTGTTAATATTTAATTGTTCCTCTCTTTTTTAGCTTACTTTTCCCCTTTAGTTGTGGCCCCTTTCAGTTACAGAATCGGAAAGAAATGATAAAGCAACAAAGCAAAGTTTTGAAAAAATTCTCAGATTCTGGACTTTAGAATTCAGATTTAGAAAAATTATTCATAGTTTAAACTTCATAAACAAATTATATGACAAGTCTGAAAAAAAATTGATTTCAGTTAGTTAAATTCTGACACGATATTTTCATTGATGGGAAAAAAATTATCAGATTTCAGGGAAGGGACAGAATTTGGACAAAAATGTTCTTCTGAAAGATAGGCTAGATCAAATGAGGAAAAAAATTTTTGAATAGAATGAGGAATGAGGTAGAAAGGCACTAACTAGCTGCACACATAGAAAAGTCCTTCAATATGGATAAATTAATCAGAAATTTGAATATTCCAGTATTACGACTTATTTTCTATAAATAAAAAAGCTGCTACTCCGCCATATCTGTTTTTCTTCTCCTTACCTAATGCACAACTTTAAAATTACATTAATTCTTTTATAATATGTTAGGTCATTCCAATTATAAGGTCACTTTTTCAAAGCCTCTAAGGATAATTAATTATATGAAGAGATTTGATTTTATACAGAATCCTTATACAAACAATAAGTACCAGTGTAGCACAATTTTTTTTTTTTTTTGAATCGCTATGCATTATACAGCAAATCATGTAATACAATTCTTAATAAAAGTTAATCTAATAACTAGTTTCTATCTATTAATTATAAAATAAATCTTAAAATCATATAAGTTTCCAGACTGAAAAAGGTTAAAAAGAAATTTCCTCTGTACTTCTCTAGTTAAAATGTAATTAAATGTTTCTAATAACAAATCTATGAAAAAAAGTATAACTGAATTTCTATAAAATATAAAGACAATGTTACTTCCTAAAACATCATACAAAATTACATAGTATTATTCATAAGATTACTTAATATCTATCTTAAACTGGAAATTTTTTTCATCAATCCTTTTCTTAAACATATGAAAAACTTTTCATAACTTTCAAAATTTTAACACAAAATAAAATGAGGAAAAGCAAAATGCATTGTTGAAGACTACGCTCTAACAATTTGAAATTTTCTGCAAAGGCAATTTGATTAAAAATAAAATAAACATGTTATACATATGCATCAATTTTAACTAGAGTAACTATCAAGCTTTAATAACTAAATATATCAGAAGATATATTTAGGCCTAATTTCAATAAAAAGGGATATTAATATACAATTGTGGGTGGTTTTTGATTATTTTTCGTTGCATTAACCTTACAGAAAAAATAAATAACATTCTTACCATCAGTGCAACTTCAGTTTTTTTTTCAACATTACCAAAAAAAGTTGGAGGACAGTAAGAATTTGTACTGTTTTTATCATCCACGAACCCAGCTTCATAAAGGAAAGCATGATTGTTTTGAGCAGCACATAACTGAAAGAAGCTAGAAACTTCTTCTTGCAGTGTTATAACCTGGATGTAACTATAAGCGTTAAAAAATATGCATTAAGAATTCAAAGAAGATAATGCATTTATAACTAGAAAAGATTACTTTATACATAACAAATATAAACTGACTCCAAATGAATAAGAGAAAAGGGGGTTAACTTTTATTTAACAATAACAATTTGTAATAATACTCAGGTAAAAAAAAAAAAAAAACTGCAATTTTCTGCTTATATGATACAAACTGCTAGAAAATTCTTTCCATGTTTTTGTCCAAAAATCAAAAAGACTTCGCCGCTCAAAGTGGTAGAGATTTTATGGATAAAAACTTAAATATATACCCCCTACAATGATACAGAATTCACTTTCTGCATAGTGTATGTACTTCACCTTTATCAATATCAGATGAAGAAGATTTTAAATTTAATTTCTATCATAAATGTATCCCTCAGATTTCTGCATGCAACATCAAAAACACTCTACATAAGAAATGGGAATACATTTCATAAATTGGAATCATCTTGGCACTTGAGAAAGTTATTTTAATGTGATATTGTAAAAGATAAATTTCATCAGCATTGAATTTTTCTTTTACAATGAGAGACAGCATCCCAAACTTCGCTCCCCCCCCCAATCTTAATATCAGATGTTAAAACACACTCTGATCCTCCAATAATCTTACCTTAACCCGTTCAGTACGGGCTTGTCATATGTGCATCAGCACCGAACATTACCTCAGGCCCGGGTGTGTCATAATTGAATCGCCATTTAATTCACTCTATGGCCGAGCATACCACATTTGACTTTTTAGATAGAACATTAATTAGTCATTTTTGTTGCCACTAGAGTAGTTGTATTGTATGTTATGGGGAAATATCGCCAGTTAACATGGTACCAATTCCTATGCGGTCTTATCTGAACGTTTTAGAAGATTATACACAAATGCTAATTTGTTAGGGGTGAGTAAGTGATGGCTCTTACTGCTCCATTTCATATAAACAAATGAACTGTTCTCGATCTATAGCATCCTTTTTTACTTACTTACTTTTTCTTTAATCCCTGTATAGTGGAGTAATGTTTCTATCATTAGATACTTTTTATTACTTCTTAGATTTTTCCGGATGGAGACTATCTTTTGTATGGCCTTTAGCGAAAAATGTTTTAATGTTTATTGCTGGTGTTCCATTTTTTTTATGGCAAAAACGAAAAGCGCCTAATCGGACCATAGAAGGTACACAAATGCCAAAATGATAGTCAAATTTGCTGATATGTCTATTCCTGTGACATTTGAAAAGTTGGGATTTGCATTCCCACCCATGTTCAAAGAATATCATTATACTGCTCTTTTTGGAATATTGCTTTTTCTTTTCGTTGTTTTCACATGGAATTTTTTGAAAGACAGGTATTTAATCTTTTTAAATTTGAACTAGTGTTGTTGTTCTGTCAAATAAAATCTGCGATGGTTTGGATATTTTTCCCATACCTCATTGTGGGAGATAAAAGAAACAATTTATTGATTCTAGACTGGCGTATTTCTGCCCTTTTTCCGGCCAATCTAACAATCCGTTTAACTCCTTCTGCCCCCACGAATGTTTCTGATCCTCGTGTACTAAAAATTGGAAACCCCCTTGGCTGCCCAATTTAATTATACGACTTTTTTTTTAACCGTCCGGGCTCCGCCGCCACGAATGCCCTCCACCCGGCCCCCACCGTTATCGGTTCCTGCGCCCTCCCAAGAGATGTTCGGTCACCAGAGGTGTCCCTTGCGCACGCGTCCCCGACACTTCCTTAAAACCTTCTTCCCAGTCCTTGCCTCCCAAAACGCAGGCCCGCCAAATGTTTCCTGGAATTCCAACGATTGCATCTGACGCTGGTTATAACTCTCTGCTCTGGATCAGTCCCGATCTCCCCGACTGCAGTTTCTGTGAGATAATCCTTTTCGCCGTTACGACGGCAGGCCCACGCCTATGCTTAGCCTTTTTCAACTTTTCTTGCTCCAATTTTTTCTAACAAAACACTCTGCCTTCCCAACAGGCATTTGGGTCTTTCCATAACGCCCACTGCCACTTTTGCTCCATGGTATTTGACAGGATACCTGCTGGTGATGCCATTTTACAATAATTCAGAAGCTTTTTTTGCTTCCCCCTTTTGGATTATAGTCCTTGAACTTGCCCCCCACCCCCCCCCCCACTTCCCTGCCCGCTCCCCTCTTCCCTCTTTGTCGCCAGTTGGCCAGGAAGCTTCCTTCCCAGAATATGGTTATTATCGTCCTCGCCTTCCCCCCGGCATAGTATTGCTTTCTCTTGCACCGGCTTGGGCGCCCAAACAAGGGGCTCAAGACGTGCTTCCACTTATATCCCCGATCTTCTTATCCTCACTACCTACACAAGGCTACTTTTAAGACTTGGTAATGTCTGTTATCAGAACTTCCCGAACCACAAAAAATAACAAAAAAAAAAAGGCAACTTTTCCCCCTCCCTCCAAAACTGCTGAAGACAAATTTTCCTTACACCTAATTTTCATATACTTGAAAACTTGCTAAAACCATATAAAATAGCACAGCATACATTAAAAATTGGATAACACTGCAGGGTTTTGGTTTGGTTTATTTGATTATGGGCAAGCACATAAGGGCTATCTGCCTAAGGACTTGAATGGAAACAAGCCCATATTCATCCTTACACGTAGGAAAATCCTGAAAATGGCCATACAGCCAGTTTATTCACCTGAAAATGAACTCACTACGAGAGAATCTTACTGTATCATGAGCGAATTTTTTAAAAATTTCCTTTAAATAAAGTATCCATATTTGTGCTGCATTTTAGAATTATTGGCAATGACAATTCCTATTGGAAATAATACGGGGAAAGAAGTCACAAGATAAAACACACAACCAGGAACTTTCCAGAGTTCAGAAACCTTACTTTATAAAAAGGTTAGAATGTTGTTAATACAGTCAAAAGTCGTTAATTCGGACACGAATAATCCGGACCTCAAAGCTACAAACTTTCTGCGCATATTGCAATGACGCATGCGCGTAAGCCTTTACCACTGCGAATTTGCGTGTGCGCGTTGCGAACATCTGTTCCGATCCTGCGCGTTTCCTGTTATAACGGCATGGGCTACAGCTCCGTCCCTTCTTCCTTTCTCTTTCGTTCCTGTGCCGTTGCCTTGTTCCTTCATTCGCTTGGATCCGGAGCTTCTTTTTTTGCAGACTGTAGCGCCCAATTCTTACACGTACGCTTGAACTTTCGCGGCTTGTCCACGTAGCCTTTCGCTATCGTCAATATCCAAGCGACGGGCGTTCGGAGTCCATTCCACCCCGGATTGCTGCAAAAAAATCAGGATCACGGCATTTCCTTTTGTGTACTAAACTTTCAATTTGCATCTGGTTTATCTAAATTTGTTATTCTTTCATGCTCGGCGGGTTTGCAATTGACTTGGGCCGTTGCTCTGTCCGCCTCTCCCTTTCTAAGGCAGATGTTTTATTTATTGGCTTATACTTGTCCTCCATGTAGTATTTTCATCTCGCTGTCCTCCTCGTTGATATGATTTAAATCCAAATGCTCGTATTCAATTCGTTCCGGCTAGGCACGAAAGTAAACACGAGGTTCTGTGAAATGACCCCCTTCGCTTGCCCCCCCCATTGTCGGTTTTCCGCCCCCCCCGCCATATAGCAACCTTGCCAGCAGCACTTTGTACTGACCCCCGCCAATTATGTGTTTCTAGCATATCGAGCATGTATTATCAACTCACAAAATGACGCCACTTAAGCAACTTACCATGAAACGAACTGTTGTAATACAGTACCCCCTCCCACTTCCGCTTTTTTGTTCCTTTTGCTACCTTCGACGCCTTGTTTCTTTATTTCGTTACAGTCCGGTTCATCTTTTAATTTTATAATTTCTGCATCGAGCAAATAGAGAGCAATAAAGGAGATCATGAGCAAATATAGATTGACAGAAATTCAGACCCCAGAAGATATTGATGAACACATAAGGCAAGCCACGAGGCTAGTCCAAGAAGCCTATGAGAAAACCAGACGTGACAAAAATGCGAGTACCCTCAAGAAGATACACTCCATGGTGGTCTCCAGAAATAGGCCAGATGAGAAAATTAGTACGAGCTCTTCGGAAAAGATTTCAGAAGGCACCCTCTGAAGATAGACCATACTATAGACATAAATATAGGATCTATGCAGCGAGATACAAAAAGATGCTATACAAAGAAAAGCGAAAGTACTGGAACGACTATTGGGAAAGTGTGACAACTAACACTCCCTTCGGAACATATTTTGAGATGATAAAGAATAAGAGAATGGAACCGCTTCAAATAAGCACGATTGAAAAAGAAGATGGCATGATGACCAAGACAATAGAAGAAGCAATTGAAGTTATTATTAAACATCACTTTCCTGGAGACAATGAGAATGACAATGACGTAATTCACGCTCAAATCAGAAGCGACTCAAAGATCCCCCCTGACACAACAGATGACCTCCCTTTCACAAAGGAGGAAATCAAGAGAACAGTGGAAGGTGTGAAAAAGAAGAAGGCCCCAGGGTTGGACCATTTAACAATCAATGCAGTCGAAGAATTAAGAATCACAAATGAAGAAAGCTTCGGCAAATTAATGAATAGCTGCCTAGAGTACGGATACTTTCCGGACTCCTGGAAAAACGCGGAACTAGTGCTCTTTCCAAAGGATGAGAAAGACAAAAGAAAACCAAATGCTTACAGACCGATATGTTTGCTCTCTGCCTGGGGTAAAGGTGCTGGACAAGTTGGTCACGCAGAGGTTAACATACCACCTAGAAAAGAGCAAACTACTCAACGATAAACAGTTCGGATTCCGGAAAGGAAAGACTACGGTAGATGCAGTAGATCATCTACAACACACGATTCACAGAAATAGGCAAGAGAACCAACACACTTGTGTCATCTCACTGGATGTCACCTTGGCGTTCAACCAGTTGTGGTGGCCAGGTCTAAAAAAGAGATTGAAAGAGCTTAGATGCCCCAGGAACATCTACAATCTGATCGATAGTTACCTTACGAACAGGAAGGTTACGTATAACAGAGATGGTCTAAACATTACTAAGGAATACTTTAAAGAAGCGCCGCAAGGATCTAACATCGGTCCCATACTATAGATAACAATGGCTGACTCCGCCCTTCAGATAGATTTCGAAGATGCCGCTACCGTTCAAGCATACGCAGACGATTTTATCATTGTCATCAAAGGAGGCAATCGTACAATCATTGAAAAAAAGGCAGCTCTCTAACGGAATGGAGCAAAAGAAATAAAGTTTAGCGTGGAAAAAACGCAGATGATACTATTCCCAAAGGGTACAAAAATAGAATCAAACCCGCCAAGAATCAAGTGGAATAACATCCCACTAAGATGGCAAGACACATTACAGTACCTGGGCTTCCTGCTGGACAAGAAACTAACTTGGGTTCCTCCATCTGACGGAACTAAGAAACAAAACAAATATAATCATAAACAGCATTAATAGAACAATGAATGAGAAATGGAATCTCAAAGGAAAACTCATGAAAGATCTATACCTCAGGGCAGTAAAAAGAATGCTTCTTTATGACAGCCCTGTGTGAATGACGAACACAGTCAGAGTCCAAATGAAACTAGCCCAGATACAGAGGATAGCATTACTGAAAATTACGTCAGCATTCACAACAACATCAACAGCAGCCTTGCAAATCCTTGCAGGCGTCTTGCCGCTTGACCTGAAAGCGCAAAGGGAGGAGATGATATACCGTCTGCTACACTATAAAGAAGACACCTCTTATGAGGGTACTATAGTATTCCAGTATGATGCAATAGAAAGGTTAAGTGATGATGCACTACTCCATCCAGCTACTCACAGAAAGATTCCTTGGTCTAAGGCTCTGCCTACAGGACAAGGACTTGAAATATTTACAGATGGCTCACATATTAACAACCACGTAGGAGCCGCCTTCGTGGCGTTCTACCAAGGCCAAGAAATCCACAAAGAAGGATTCAGACTTTCCAACGACGCTATAGTGTATCAAGCCAAGTCACAAGCCCACAAAAAGGCAGCCCTATGGGCAGGCACACAAGCATCAGACCAGATAAGCTTCTTCACAGACAACATGAGTGTGCTTCAAGCGCTCAATAAAAGAGGGAAAGTGGCAGAACATGCCGCCACACTAAAAGAAATTTTCAACTCGTTAGATCACAAGATTCTCCTCAGTTGGGTCCGAGGACACACAGGGCTCCAAGGAAACGAGCAGGCGGACGTACATGCCAAAGCGGCTGCTTCCAAGCCAGACATACACGTAGCAGTACCGCTATCCACAGAGGTAGCAAAAAGATTCATAACCAAGTACCTAATTGACGCATAGCAAGATAGATGGAATGAAAAAGAGAAAGGACGTCACACGTACAGATTCTTTCCAAAGGTTAGCACTAGGCGTCTCCGCTCAAATTTCTTCCTGGTCCAGGCTTTGACAGGACACGGCAAGTTTCCGGCCTACTTTAAACGATTTCTGAATCGCAATGTCAGATGCGCCTGCGGCACCCGAGGCCATCAAGCAGACGCCCTTCACTACATCCACGATTGCAGGCTGTTCGAAGACATAAGATCTCGTCACTTTCCGGCCAATTTTAAAGATCATCCACTAGTCTCCTTTGCTACAGACTTCTACATGGTGAAAGGAGTAATTAACATCACTTGGTGAGTTAAATACAAAACAGGATATCTTCCTAGAAGAATAATATAAACAGGTCTGCGCACCTGACACCGATCATGACATGTATATATTGTAAATAGTCACCGTCCAAAAGGACATTATGTAACCTCTTTTCTTCAAATCTCGATGTTGTAATGTAATATGTTATTGTATTGTATGTTAACTAATAAAGGACGCAAAGTCTACCACAAGCAGTAAATAGGCAGATTTCTGCCTAGATTACTAACGCAACGATCGACCACAAGCAGTAAATAGGCAGATTTCTGCCTAGTTTACTAGCGCAACGATCGGAATGATTTCAAGCCCGGTAGTGCCTTCTTAATGAAATGGCAGAGCCGGTTAGTGTCACAAAACACTAGTTAATCATCTGTGGTAGCCTACCTGTTTCACACACTGCTAATGTTCTTGCTAAACTAACATATTCCTGGAATATTTCTTGCTACCGTTGTTCATGAAAACTCAAGATCATTCACCACCTTACAGACAAAGGTCTCACTTTTCAAACCCTTACAATCTGCAGTGTATGGTAATAATAACTCATGCACCCTATCTATGGCTACCAAACCTACTATGACTTAAAATTCATTCTGTTATTCAACTACAATCAGTTCTAAAGCAGAGATGATGATTAAGCTGAAACAGAGAGAGCATTATTCTAAAGCAGAGGGAGATGACATTTTAAATGGTTAAGTTACCATCTGAAATTTTATAGAGTCAGAATAATTCCCTAAACAGATTACAGAAATTTGCATTAAATACAGCTAAACATTAAAATTTTTTATATTCAAAAATAATGATCACCTACTTTTAGATGATCATATTATGCACATATTTCATATTATTACACAAAAACTGTTTTGTATTAAATAAACAAATTTCTATTTTTAGTATTATGCTTTAAATAAACATTTATGCATTCATGTATACTTATGTATTTATTAATTACTGAATATTTATAGTAACAAAATTTATTCTAATAAAAATATGTGTATATAAATTAGAAAGTACCTTTCTACTTCTTTAACAGAAAGCATTTTCATATTTTTCCTTTTTTTATATTCCTTTCCTGAATTTTCATCTTTATTTTCCTTCACATATTCTTCATAATGTTTCTTTGCGTTACGTAAATGGCGATAACGTTCAAATAAAATTCTGTAGGAAGGAGCAGGTGCAAGATAAAAATTTATGGCACTTTTTGCAGCACGTATATAATCCTAAATAATAAATACAAACATTTACATATTTAGGATTCATTTACAATACAAGAGATTAACAGCAAGAGATTTCAAACAAAACATTTATGTATTTATAAATAAAAATGACTCACCCATGCATAAATACAATTTTTTTAAACAGAAAAAACATGAATTTTTAACTTCACTGTTATTTAATTAGCTTTTATGTTAATTAAATGTAAAAATAAATAAAATTTGAAAAGAAAAAATAATTTTCAAAATCAGATAATAATTCAACTAGCATAACACTATTTTTAATCAATGTTTATTAACAGAAATGGACTGAATTAAAAATCTGTATACCCCCATGAAAAGCTGGACCTCATATAGAACATTTAAGTATTTCAAACGTTCCAGATGACGACAAGTGGCAAAAAGATAAGGGCTCCAAACTGAAAGCAATTGGTCTACATTTGTTAAATGATGCTTGAGTGATGATAACTGGACATTCTTCAATACAGGCATGAATAATGCTTCAATGAATACATCTGGATCACATTTCTAATGAATAATATAAGTTAATATTAGAATTCATGTGAAACACTTTCAATTACATACTTAACATTAATTTTATTTCCATATAAATGTTATCTGCATAATTTTACTGAATTTTAGTGCACAATAAAAAAATACAATTCAGATAAAAATGCAACAGCCCCATGGGAACTTATTTGTATCAACAGCTTAAATGCAATCAGAAAAACTACTGAAAAAATTATCAAACATTTAATGGACATGGATGGAAGCATATTTTATTCAAGCTGTAAGAGAGTTTGATAAAAAAAGGAGAACTTAAATCCTAACTTCTAATGAGCATAAGATGCAGAAAACCTAGTTACTCATAATATAAAAAGTATAATATTTTTTAAGAATCTAATGGTCAGAATGATTTTGTTACACAGCACAAATCATACTTGTTTATATTTAACAAGAAACAGATATGAATTTTGATATTATCCCACATTTTTTAATGAAATTAAAAACCAAATAATTCTACACTGAAGTATATAATCTAAGAATTATAATAATGATACAAGTATTTTTTATTAATTATAATAATGCTACAAGTATCCCCATTTATCAATTAAGTATTTTATACACATATTTTACAATATATCAATCAAATACATTAAAATATCTAATGCAGACCACAACTTCCTTGTATGGCCTATTAAATTATACACATTTTTCATTGAATTTCTTTGAAACTTATTTCCTTGAATTTCATTAGAGATATATTTCTAATGGAATAAATTCAGTTCTAACTGCATGGCAAGGCAAAAATACATAAAAACTCAGTCTTCATTAAAAATTTTAAAATATGGAAAAACCTAAAACACCAAATGAAGTTATTACCAGTTAAACAATTTTTACAAAAATTACACAGCTGACCTTTTGGTTCCAGTAGGCAAAAAGATACTGATGCTGGTGCAAAACCCAACTTAATTCCCTCTTCCACCAAGAGTTTCAAATGTAACAAATGGTGATCTCATTAGACTTAACTACTTGCGCTACGACTAAACTTCACGGTTGCGGTGCCGTGCTCTACAATATAACAAGCGGTAAAGTGTCTCATTTACATCGCTCCACGTCTGCGAGTGAAATCTAGAGCTGTAACTCGAGGAATAATCTCGTTGTTAGGTGACGTGTGCACCACGTTATTTTCATTTTTGCGTGTGGTTTGAGACAAAAGCGTGTGTGGCACGTCTTTTTAGCGCAAGTGGTTAACGACACTTAGCTTTTAAATTGTTGATAATTCTACAACTATTGCATGCAGATTAATTAAAGGCATAAGAACTTCAATCAGAAAATAAGAAAAACATAATTCAACCACTTTTAAAGCAGAAAATGTACAATTTACCAACATAAAAGAACAAAACTGGACTCACTGAACTGGGTTACAGAGTGGCAATATATGTTTGGTACAGACAATTGCAACAAAAAAGAGAGGTAACCAATTGCATGTTATAGCATGCCTATATACAAAATTTCAATATTCTATGGCTACCTGTTTTTGACATTTTGAGTTATACTTACAGTTATACATACATATATACAGATGTCATAAAAAAATCTCTTCTGAATCCATTTAAAATTCATTTTGTAATCTATTTTGGAAAAAAAAGTCTTACTCGGTCCATATGTACAGCTGTGACACAACAAAGGGAGTAAAAAGGTAATATTTAAATTAACAAGAAAAATCTATTTTTTGAACTGTTCAGTTTGTTAACTAACCTGTGCAGCATATATTTCTAGATGCAATTTACAACATATAAGCAGAACAATCACAAACTTGCTTATGGCATACTATTGAAAAAAAAATCTGATGTCTACACCATGACTTCCTTGTATGGAATTTATGTATATTTTATTTAATGCATATTTTATTTAATATGCATCCTGCATTTCATTTAAACTTATTTCCTAGAATTTCATTAGAGATATTTCTCTTTCAATTAATTCAGTTCTCACTTCACGGCAAGGCAAAAATATATAAAACCTCAAAACAAGTAATTTGACCAGCAGACAAGACACATATTTTTTCGGTGCACAAAACTGAAAGTTTACTTTTGGTCCCACTCGGCAAAAAGACACCGAAAGTGCAAAAACTGAATTCACTATTCTGCCAAGTTTAAAATGCAAACAAATATGGCTACTATGGTACACAATATTAGGCTTAGCCACACTTAAACAATGTTTCAATTGTTGATAATTCTACAACTGTTGCAAGCCAGATTAACTAAAGGCATAAAAACCTTAACTGGAAGATAAGAACAACATTATTCAGTCATTTTTAAATCAAAAACAAAATGCACAATTTAGAACCATATAAGAATAAAAACTGAACTCGCAGAGCCGAGTAACAGAGTGTATATATATACACTGCTGATACTGCTGAAAAATAAACGAAGCATTGTTGAGAAAGAGATCTCTGATGGAAGGTAGAAGTTTTGGTTCTAGAATAGTGTCAATGTATTTTCTGGCATTCAGTGTCCCATCGATGACATGAAGGTGACCAATACCATCTGCTGACATGCATGACAAATCATAACACTAACTGGGTTCTTCACAGTGCTTGAATGCAGTCAGGATGTAGCTCTTCTCCTTTAACGTCTTACATATTTTTGCCCATCTACCGAATAACGATTATCCTAGTTCATCACTCCATATACTTGAACCACTGATCATCTGTCCAATTAATGTGTTCCTTGCCACTGTAGTCTTTTTTTTTTTTTTTTTTTGTGTTGTTGTAAATAAGATAAGGCTTTTTCGGGAATTTACCTCTGTCCAAATCTGTTAATCTTTCTGACTGTTCTTGAACTGACAGAAACCCAGCACATTCAGATCATTTCTGATGGCCGCTGATGACATTTTCTATCTTGTTAGTCTTTTTTTTCTGTCATCAATAGGAGTGGTGCACTTTTCGGCTTTTCCTATTTGTTTTTTATTGAATTTGTCTCTGATATCGTAACATTTGACTGCATGTAGTTCACTGAACCACCCACCGTCTGCATTTCAGCATAGGAAGACCACTTCTCGTAAATAATAAATTACATCTCTTTCTAAGTGTCCAATCTATCTTTGATTTGATGTCATTCTTCTTGACTAAATTTAAAAATTGTTACAAAAATTCCTACTTGTATTGCAGTGTAAGAAACAGGTCCCTTCTACGAACGCAAAATTGAAGTGTTTCAAGTAAATGATGCAGCTTCTACTGGCAGTTACTAACATTTGATGGTTCTCAGAACAAGAACAGTGATGGCCAGGAAAGCTAGACATTACAAACCACTTCATAACTGTTTTTTATTTATATTAATGTACACATAACTTTTTTTGTATTGCAAGTAATTGAATTTTGTGTTTGTATTGAATTCAGTAATATATTCTCTTTAAAATGATATATACAAGTTTGCATTTTGAGAAACGTAACATTTCTATAAGCATACAAAGTTCAAAAACATAAAAATTTCCAAAAGTGTCCACAATTTTGGCCACCTCTGTATATATATAATAAAAACACAAGGAAAAGCCGAAGCAGTGTCGATGCATGCTTAGTAGATCCATATTGAACAAAAATTTTGATTGTGTAGTATGCTAATAATGTTAACTTGGTAATATCTAAAGAACTTGGAGGCAGTTTTAATTCCATTTTTATTTGAAATTGATATTTGTAGCCACAATCACTTGGCACTCTAGTCGTGCCTTTCCAAAGAAGATTTACATTTTTGAAATTGTTGAGATAGAAAGAAAGCCAGCGAAATTACATCTTAGCAGAGTACAGAGCAAAGCTGAAGTGTGTAGTTATGCAAGCTGTAAGCACACGAAGATAAAAGTTTTGGTTTGCAATTTGGTGACTGGTCAAGAGGCATCTGTATTAAGGGTTACGTAAGATCGCATGATTAATTTAAATGACGCAGTTTAGACTTAAGTGCTATTTTTAGGACAGATAGATGAAGTTCTCAAATGAAATAGAAAATAAAAGAGGTTATAGTGAGTTAAATTTAGAAGTTTGCTCTTCATATTTTTTATCTTACATATATATACACACACACACACACTTTTGGTGCAGCCGATTGCAACCAAAAAGGAAGTTGCACAACTAAAGGTTATAACAGTAGCATATACAAAATTAACATTCCGAGACTACTCATTTTTGAGTTATGCAATATACATACATACGTACATAAATCATGTATCATGAAAAAATCTCTTCTGAATCCATTTAATTTTTTTTTGGGGGGGGGCAACCCATTTTGAAGAAAAGAGTCATTTATTCTGTCTTTATGTACAGATGTCACGCAAAAACTTCATTAAATTGCATTTGACAGCGGAAAAATGGATATGTTCATTGAAATATGACACCCAAAAATTTTCACAATGACAATAGTTCCTTTACTTCATACAAGGAAGTAATATATGTCTAAAGAAATGGCTTTATACCAAATTTTTTAAGCAAAGCTGTTTAAACTATTCTTGGGAAAAATTTTGTAAATTTCATTCAGAATCTATTCATAAATTAGAAAGGTGATTACAGGTCATATCCAGGGTGAATGTTTAGTGTATGCAGCTGTAACTACTTGGATATTGTGAACCGATTAGAGTACTGAGAATTACTTATGAAATAATAAATGAATATAATACATAAATATACTACTCTTTCATATTACTATCAATAATGTTTTATTTTAAAGCACCAAATATATAATATTTTTCTTAAAACATACATTAGTAACACACTTTTATTGGATAACTATCTGAAATAGGTTTAGTGAAAACTGGCAGCACAAAAAGTAGTCAACAAAATTCATAATGCACATGTAAATGTTACCTTTTCCATAATGTATTCCAAAGCTTCATGTATTAAACCTTGTCTGTGATAAAAACGTACAGTGGAAAAGTGGGTTCCATAAGTATCCAAATAAAAAAGGCATTCTTTTTTAAAAGGATCATCAAGAGGAGAAATTTCATTTTTGAACTAAAAAATTAAATGCATTTCAATTTTGAAAATTTTTGTTTAATTACTAATATAATAAAATTAATACTTGGGAAATACACTAAACATATTAAAGACTTAAACACATTCAAAACAATAAACATACTGAACATAAATTTCAAACATATTAAACATACTTAAATCATACAATTAAGCAAAGCAACTTTGTGTCTGGTACCGATATTAACTAAGACTAAGGATTTTGAAGATGACAAATACAGGTTCCTCTTCATCATGTCACCGTGATGAAGAAAGATTGTTGACAACCTGTCATCCTCAAAATCGACAGGTAAAATCTATGGCAAACACAAGGTTATTGCTCTGCCTAATTGTATGTTTTTCTTTGGCATGTTTGATATAGTTAAATATTAAAAAAATTAAAAGATGAAGAGGAAAAGATTTTGAAAAGAAAGATTTATGTACTTAATTTTTAACATTAATTTTTAGACTGTCAAATACTTTGAATGAAAATAAGACATATAATTCCAAAGTGGAATTAAAATAAATTAATAAAATGTTTTAAAATTAATATTTTAAAAGGCTTTTTAAAGTACATAAAAAAAACCTTCGAAATTCCTGTTATAGAACAGTGAAAAGAACTTATTTTATATCCTGAAGGTTTACAAATAGGTGAAAACAAAAAGTATTCTAAACATCAGCAAGTTATAGTTTGTTGCAATTTACATTTTAATTTAATGGTTTCAACACCTTTACCTACTCCTAGTTAACAGAAAAATTTCATACAGAATGGAAGGACATATTACAGAGCTACAGCATTAATGGTTGAGGAATGTGAAATAAATAAGTAAATGAGATTTTCCAAAGCACAATAAAATTTAATATATTCATTGCCATTCTACAAATAACATTAATAAATAGGCTTAAAGAAGTTTACATTTTGTTGTACAAGGAATGGTAAAAGGATACCTGGAAATATTAATACATTAATTTAAAGCTATACCAATAAATATACAAAAATTCAATGAAAATATAATAGTATTTAGTAAATGATTCGTTACTAGATTAAAACACGAAGAATCAAATTGATTTTTTTTTGGGGGGGGTATTTGTATTAATGATAGAATACAGAAACAAATTGTTTAATCAATGATTAAAATGCTTTGGAAACTAGCGTATTCGGAAACCGTTTCATTCTAGAGCCATCGCAGAGCTGTGTTAGGCGTCCCGCACATGCGCACTAGTCTTTCTTATTCACTGACTTTCCATTGTCGCCACTTTGGTTGTTCTATGTTGTGTTTTCAGTTTGCTGTGCACATTCAAAATGTTTAAGACAATTAGTTCTCCCGCTGACTGTGAGATTTGTGCCGTGATTAAATTTTTGAATGCGAGGAATGTTAAAACGGCCGAAATTTATCGTCAAGTGACAGAAGTTTACGGTGAATACGCAATAAGTGATGGAATGGTGAGAAAGTGGGTAAGAATGTTTAATGCAGGACGAACAAATGTCCACACTGAGGCTTGGAGTGGTTGACTTTCTGTTGTTGATGATTTGGTAAGGAAAGTTGATGAAGCAATTCATAAGAACAGACGCTTCACGATGACAACTCTTTTAGAGGCATTTCCACAAATTTCATGTACTGTTTTGTTTCATATGTCATCGCTTTGGATCTGACGATGACACGAAAAATGCTATGGAGTCATGGTTATCGAAACTGGCGGGAAGTTTCTTTGACGATGGTATACAAAAACTGGTCACCCGCTATGACAAGTGTTTGATCATTGGCGGAAACTATGTTGAAAAATAGTTTAAGACATGCATTTTCATGTAAAAATAAAATTGGATTCTAAAAAGTTGTTTTACTTTCCCCCCCCCAAAACGGTACTTAGTTTCCGAATAAGCCTCGTACATTTCATTTTTTTAATGTGCTCAGGTTAAAATTCATATTTATATCTATTGTCTAATTTTACAGTTACATAACCATGCTTGGAATAATTAAATATATACACAGATACAACTTTGTAATATAAACTGGGAAAATTAGTGCAAAATTTTAATATAAGTTACAAATTAACAGAATGATAAATACATTTAATTACCTGAGTTAAACCACTCTTTATGTTTTTCAGTGTTGAAAGCGAATTGAATATTGTAGCAGCCTATAAAAATATCCTTTTTAAAAAAAGTAATGCATGGAATGAAAAGATTTCAGAACATATACAACAAAATGAATGAAATGTTTAACTTTTTTCTTATTTTCTCAAACTCGTTATCAAAATATATTAAACTTGATGCATTATCTTTAATATATGTTTCTTATTTAAAGTTAAAAAGTTAAAATGCAAACAATATATAATTTTCTTTTTCTAAACTAAGCATGAAGTTTCATTCTTAGCATAAAGTTTATATGCTTAACATACAATACCATTTAATTATTCAAAAATTGAGCAAAATTATATCAATCTAAAACAATTTGTTAATTTTCACAAAAATCATTTTAGAATTACAAAAAATAAATGCTCAAAGATAATATAATCAAATTAGTATCACTTGATGCATACCAATACTTGAACTTTTATAGTACTTTTCTCTTAAAATATAAGAATTTTTATTGCATGCATATGAGTTCTTTTGAATTGAATGCACAAATCTGATGAAAAATGAACAAAATTTTTATTATCGCAACAAATAAAACAAAACGCTCCAATTTCCTCAGCTATTCGTGTAGTATTACAATATCCCACAGTTGTTATCTTTTAACTACTCAAACGTTCAACAGAACTTAATTCAAAACAGCTAGAGAAAGCTAATCCACAAATTCGCTACAGTCAACAAGAGCAGTTTTCTAAACAAACTCTTAAAACAACAGCTAACTGAATTGAGAGGTTTTCCTCCTTTTTATAAGCTTTTTAAATCACATGCAAGATTGTTCTAACAATTTCTCAAAATCAAAATGAGATATTTATTTATTAAATGTTAAATGCATGCGCTCTTGTATTTTTAATTTTCCGGCTTAGCTTTCTTTTAATATTCATCACGTGCTGCGCTGCACAGGGAATAAAACAATTTTATTCATAATTCTACTAACAATAGCTATTTAAATACCAATTCCGTAACACTGCCCTGGACTGCACGTCCCAGGCAGTGCAATCCCTGGACAGGAAGCCAAACTTACAACTAAGGCATAAATGCAATAATAAACACTGCATTACAATAACAAACAATATAAACAATAAATGCAATAACTAGATCAAATCAAATGCTATCAAATACAAGTCAAATCAAATACACATTTAGAAACAAAAAGGACCATGGCCTTACACTATTTACAATTACATACACTACATACTATAGCCATAGTAGTGAGCTAACCTGTCGTAATGAACGACTTTAGGTTTAGAGTTCGATGACTTACGGATCCGAACCACGACGTCATTCAGCCTGTTCAGGACTGTGTACGGATCATCCCAAGGTGACTGTAATTTAGGACCTAGTCCTTTTCATCAGATCGGGAACCACAACCCCACCTTGTCTTCTTCGTTGAAGCTATGTCCAATAGCTCTCGTGTCATATCTGGTCTTCCCTTTCCTCATCGCCAAGTTGACTCGCTTTCATGCAGAACGGTGCATCACTTCAAACTGGCCTAGACATCTTGGATATATTCCTCAGGCAATGAAGGAATCTGTAGGGCAATCAAATAGGCAGTCACAAGGCAGACGAAGGTCTCGACAAAAGAGCATCTGTGATGGAGAATAGCCGGTAATCTGGTGTTTCTCTTCCACCCTTGTATGATCTTGGCAGCTTTCTGAGCAGGGTCTTTCAAACAAGATGTCGGAGTTTTCAGGTCAGGATGGATAGTCATGTCCTCAGATGCTGAAAGCAGTTTGTTGTTTTTGAAGCCCAAGGAAAAATTGTATTTCCTTAAAAAGTCTGATCCGGGTATGCATGGATCTGTAATATCTGCCACATATGCCGTGCGATGGTAGGCGGCACTTCCAAACGTGATGTTCATGCTTAACTTCCCAGCTGTGTCGCTTTTATCACCAAACGCAGTCTGAAGGATAACACACAATGGCGCCCAGATGAGTTTATCCTTAAATTGTTGAGCTAAATCTTTTCGAGTGATGGTGACATTAGCTACTGTGTCAATGATCATATTGCAAGGAACCAATGGGCATATCTATGGATATGCCCATTGATAGAGACAGACCATTACTGCTGCCACTCACTGTAGAAATTTTGAGCGCTTTAAAACAGGGTTTTTCATTATCCGGCAACAACCGCTCTTCGATATGGTCATTAATTTGTTTCCTGAGTTGTTGCTGGGAAATGGTCTTATTTCCGTACCCTGGGGTGTTCTGCAATTCTGCCCTGGGGTGTACATGGCCTTCAGCTCCACAGTTCTAGCATTTTAGGTTCAGTTTCCTCTCAGCAAAACTCCGTCTCAAGGCATTCACTGGTCTTGTCAAATCATCCGTTTTATTTATTGCCCTGAGGTGTTATGCAATGCCGTCGTATGTGGCCTTCAGCACCACATCTCCAACACCTTAGATCCAGTCCGTTCTCAATCCTACTCCATATCAAAGCGTCGACTTGTCTGGATACATCATCTAAACGAGCCATTAACTGATCCACTGGCTCGTGGATTCCCACAGCTCTGACTGGGCAGCAATCTCTACGAGTCGCTTGCTGGGCTGCCTCGAATTTCATGGCATACAACAGAGTGCTTTTTATGTCCTTTACATCCACCATTCACAGAGCTTTCTATATTTCAGGGTCCCAGATGCCATCGATGAAATACTGCAGGGACAGGATTTCCCTTGTTTCTGTCGGGCACTCTGAAAAGGCAAGATGGGACAGCCTTTCTACATCCATGGTGAGCTCCTGAAGTGTGTTGGTGGGCTTCTGTTGATGGGATTTTAATTGAAGCCTGTAGTCTTTTAAACACTTCTCCCCAACGCACAGCTCCAATGCACCGGACAAAGCTTCGAAGTCTAATCTCTGGTTTTCGGGAAGAGCCTGCAGGATATCTGCTGCATCTGCTCTCAGAGAAGTGGCAAGATGGCAGGCCTTAGCTTGGGAATCCCGTCCATTTGGTTCCGCCACCACAGAAAATTGTGTTTTATACACATGCAAAGAGGTCTATCCATCATATGCAGATAACTTCAGAGAGGAACAAGCAGGCAAGGGTAAAAATTTAAAACTATCAGAATTGCTCCCTGCCATCGGTACGATCTTCTTTAAAGTATCAACTTCTTTTGCAACTGTCGAAACCCTATCATCAGTTTGTTGTTCGATGGCAGAAACTCTCTCTCTATTTGTTCTTTCACCAAAGAAACTTTCTTCGATTTGATCTTTTACAGAAGAAACCTTTTCTTCGATTTGTCCAACTTTATTTTCAACCATGTCCATTCTGTTTTCCATAGCCTCAGATTTGTTTTCTATTAGATAATTTCTCTTTTCATTTCTTCTTGACTTGCTTCAATCTTTTCTTGACCTGCTTGAATGGCTTTCATTTCTTTCTTAATGCATTCTTGGCCAGCATCCATTTTCTCTTTGACATATTTCATCTCATCTTTAACACAATGAGTGCCACGTGAGCCATCTGTGGCTGACACTAGAATTTCCGTTTAGGCCGTGTCAGACATCTGTGGCTGAAACTAGATTTTCCGTTTAGGCCCCCGTTAGCTATCTTTGGTTGACACTAGATTTTCCGTTTAGGGCGCGTCAGCCATCTGTGGCTGCACTTAACTTTCTGTTTAGGTCGCGTCAGCCATTTGTGGCTGACACCAGACCTTTTCGTTTAGGCCGCGTTGACCGCCGCTGGCTGACAGCGTGTAACATGATATATAACTATAAAATTTACATTGTTTTTATGAAATTACACAAAATTTATTTAAAATTTACTTAATTTTGATTCATGATTTGATTTTGATTCATTGGATTTCATTGAAAAACGGTAAACATAAAATTGGTTCTCCATTACAGCTATTACAAACGTGACAACACTCTTTTAGTCTTTCTACCAGCTTCTGTTGCATTTTTATCATAACATAATTTACAATATTTTCATACTTCAGAGGCTTTTCCCGGTTTTCTTTGGAGTTTATGTTGTCGTTTTCTAGATATTCTTGCATTTTTGTTCGACGGAATGTCTTCTTTTTCACAACTTATTGCTATCTTCTACCGCGATACGAATCACTGGTCCTACAATACCAGCTCTTTTAAGCGAAACGCGTGGCCTTAACGGGATTGCCTAAAACATATGTGTGGCACTCAAAGTGTTAACAGAATCTTTCATCTCTTCTTTAAATGCTGCTTGGCCAACTTCCATCTTTTCTTGGGATGCAGCAAAAGCAGTAATGAGCTGCCTCAATTGTTCCTCCATCACTCTAATAATTAGCATTCAAATCCCACTCCTGACACCAAAAAGTGTTGCATGCGTACGGATTCGTTTGAATTGAACGCACACATACGATGAAATATGAACAAAATTTATTATTATCACAACAAATAAAACAAAATGTTTAAATTTCCTCAGCTATTCATACAGTATTACAATATCTCACAGTAGTTATCTTTTAACTACTCAAACATTCAACAGAACTTAATTCAAAACAGCTAGAGAAAGCTAATCCGCAAATTCGCTACAGTCAACAAGAGCAGTTTTCTAAACAAACTCTTAAAACAACAGCTAACTGAATTGAGAGGTTTTTCCTCCTTTTTAAAAGCTTTTTAAATCACACACAAGACTGTTCTAGCAATCTGTGTGTGATTTAAAATCAAAAAGAGATATTTATTTATTAAATGTTAAATGCACGTGCTCTAGTATTTTTAATTTTCTGGCTTAGCTTTCTTTTAATATTCATCACGTGCTGCACTGCACGGGAAATAAAACAATTTTATTCATTATTCTACTAACATTAGCTATTTAAATGCCAAATCTGTAACAATATTATTTTTACAATTAAAAATCATGGAACATTGCTAAATAAGTAATATTAAATTAATTTTAACATCTGATATGAAGATTATAGTTTTCATATACATGTACAAATGAAAAACATTCTTTACAGAATTCGATCATTTAATTCTAAATAATATTTTGTCCCCAACTGTTAATTACTACAGTTGATTACTTTAAGATACTAGAACATTACGATTCTTAATTACAATTATTAAAACAAAAACGTACCCTTGAAATTTTTCAAAAAGTCAAAATTATAATATTTCTTTGTTCCATCCTTTTATATTGCATTACCAAATACTTGATATATTACACATATCTTTTTCAAAAAACTATTACGTTCTCATTAGCATATACAGAAGTGTTTAACTCAGAGGCTCATTTTCAAAGTAATCACTTATTTAATCAAAGAAAATTATTCTAATGCAGTTTTTCCTATTTCCTCTACTTCCATATTTTAATTTCCTGTTCCCATTTTTACATTATTACTACAAATTTTCATCAAAATCTTAGTTTCATTTAATTTGATGATTTAAATCTGTTGCATATTCAGCAACATGCATGTGCCACATAACATATACTAAGTTGCACTCATGTAATTGTTTTCAAATTCAACTTGAATAGCATATTACATGTAATCACTACAGAGCAGTTCTCTAAAGATATCTGAGTGAAAAAGTTACTGGAAGGCCATTAATTAAAAATTATGTGACAAATAAAAAATGATGACATTTATAACACTTGTTTTAGCCATGGAATCTAGAGACAACAAAGTAGTCATTTTTAGTAACAGAATAAACAATATGCTGCATATAAAATGATAAAGGGTAATTAAAAAAATAGAGTGGTTGATAATTTGACATAAAACTATTCAGACAAGTATACATTTTTAACTAAATTTTATTTACTTTCTGAGTTCCTGGATATTTAGAATTTTCTAAAACAGCCAGTATCTTGTTCAGCAATGAATTTTCCTGGTTTTGATCATTTTTATCATTTAAAACCTACAAATAAATAGAATACCTTAGCATTTTTTAAGCATACTTTTGGAAAATGGTTTTACATTAGATGATATTAAATGAAATTAGAAACAAACTTTTAAGCATTGCTGGAATTTTATTCTAGCTGTAGACCAGTCTCCAGCTTTTAAACAAAACAATCCCCAGGTAGACCAAACACCAGTTTTCTCCAAATTAAATTTTGTGGAAACTTCCAAAGCTAAATTCATTCTTTCTTCTTCTAGCAGCTTATCCCGCAATTTTCTTTTTTTAAAAAAAGAACAGATTTACATGTGTATAATACTGATCAATAAAATTACATAATGCATTAACTGAACTTAGCAATTTTGACAAAGATCACATACCTCACTATATCAGTATTAATTAAAGCTTCTCGAGGCAATAGATGTTTGCAATTTGCATTCACTAACAATTTCATAATATCTAAATGTCGAAAATACAGATCTGCAAGAGCTTCACCTTCACTATCTTGCACCTGATGACATTTCACTTTTGCATTCATCAACAATGATTTTATCATACTGTAAAGTAATGAAAATAATAATTAAAACCTATTGCTCAATAAAGAAAAACATCTTTCACAAGAAACATTTATGTTTTCAGCAATATAATCATATTGATAGTTCAAAGTTAAAATTTAAAGGGAAAAAGGTGTGACTATCACAATATAAAATGGGATTTGTTTGATATTATAACTTATTACTTTATAAAAAACATGTCTTACCATGGTAGTCATTCTTGATTAGGCAATTATCACAAAAGAGTTATTTCTACGTTCTTTGGTAAAAAACAATATACATTAAGTTCATCATTATCTTTGAACGAATAGATTAAAAATAAGTTACAACTTTTTTTAAAATTCCTGTGCCAAACCTAGGCATGACCAAACATTAGAATGTGACGGGACAGCCTAATACAGTTCAGAAACATTAACCCCTTCGAGCCGGGTAGCGAAAACGTGCGCTTATCGCTGAGGCCGGCAGTGTCTTACGCGAGCGTCTCTCCAAAGCCGGGGGCTTTTTTGCTACTAAGCCTAAATCCATGAAATTTCCGAAGTATCAACGCATTGTTTAATAATGCTCTGTAGAGTATTTAAACGGCTTATGTTTTATAAATATTTTTATATATATACTTTAATTACCTTATTTCTTGTTTAAATGCATGTTTTACACATTTTATTTTAATTACTCACCATTTTATGAATTTTAACATTATACATCTGAAAACTAAATATATTACTTAAAATTCTCTTTTCGTATGAAAAATTTGAAAACAGGGATCTACACACAGTCCTACGTTACATTCCTTGCACTCGTAATAACTCATTTGCCGTTTTGGAGGATTTTTCCGGGAATGTGAACAAACGAAGCATCGTCATCTCATTTTCTTATCAGTCTCTTCTGAACAAAGTTTTGGAAAATGTCTTTCAGTTAATCTTTCAGAATCAATATCAGAATTTCAGAATCAATATCTGAAATATTTTGCATCATTTCTGCTATTTCATGCTCTGTTAAACATTTTCGACGCTTCGACATTGCAACGGTAAAAACAAAGAATTCACGTCTAACAAGTTCTAATTACTTTCTAAAAATTGAACTGCAAACTGAAATACCCAACGCTTTAGAGCAAATAAAACTTCTCTACTTACAGTAAACAACTACCATGTGCAAATAAAGTGCGATTTAAAGAGACGTCATAAATTACGCCATTCGGAAACATTTATTTCCCCGTTTGTTTATATAATCAAAAACACGTGTATGTGAGTCATGCTTCTCTCATTTCGAGGTCTAATTTACATGTATCTGAAACCATATGGACATACAGTGCCATCTTGTGGCAGAAATTATAGTTTGAAAAACGTTCCTAAGTACTGGCACAAATACGTGACAGTCGGTAGAGAATGGAACAATCCTCTGGCACGCCTGCGTGTCGGCCGGTAGGTAAGTGCGTTCATTGCTGGCACGTACACGTGACAGTCGGCGCGAAGGGGTTAAAAAAGTAAAATAATTTTTTGACAGCATTTGCCGTTGTCATGTTATTATGCCCAAAATAAGTGTCCAAATGGTCACGGCACATGTAGTCAGTATCACATAATGGGCAAAAGATATCTGTGTAGATGTTTCAGGTGATGACATAGACATGTCCGGTTTTTTAATTTACAGTTAGTGACACTAACAGGTCTAGGTAGGTCCCACAGAATGGAATTCTCCATTAGGGAACACCAAATCTTCCCCTTCACAGAGTCCCCATGCTTCTCTCAAAGATGAGCTCCACAACTGGCTCCAATGATTCTGTTGGCACTGTGCTAGCAAACAGGAGGATTGGGTTAAAGAAGAGCATATCCCCCCTTGGCCAGAGTGTCAGCAAACTCATTACCCATGATTCCACAATAACTTGGGATCCACTGCAGAGTAACACTGTGACCATTTTTCATTAGAGAATTTATCACAAGCTGACAATTTAGAACAAATCCATTGTTTGAAAATATTACCAAAGAAATTGTTTAATAGTGGCTTGTGTAATAAATAAATATTACAATATTCTGATCATCTCTTGATGATTTCAGTCGAGGTCAGCTGGACAGCAGCCACTTCAGAATCATAGTTGGTACAATTTGCACCAACAGTCCCCCTAAAAAACTGATGGTATCATAAATACCTTGTAATAAGATCTTCCACTTAGTAGGATTTTCTATTTCAGCATCAGATTTATAACAGATCATTAAACAACCCTCCTTTCTATCCCACCTAATCCCCAAAACTGAAACTGGTTTAAGATCTTCTTTAAACAAACTTCTTTTCTCAGATGACAACTTTTCCATTTCTTCTACAGGACTGAATTGCCATAATCTCAAATCCATATAACTTCAGCCATAATTTAAGTTGATTTTAAGATATATTCTAATTCAGATGCACTATCTAAGGAGGTTATGCAGCTGTCAATATCAGTAGTTTGTCAGTCTTCAGTAGGACTTCAGTAGTTTGTCAGTAACTGCTTTGAGTTCTTCTGGTAAATGGTACCTTAAAACCATGGTAAATGGTACCTTAAACCTTCTGGTAACCCAGAAGGTTCCATTCCAGAAGCTGTCAATATCAGTAGTTTGTCAGTCTTCAGTAGGACTTCAGTTGTTTGTCAGTAACTGCTTTGAGTTCTTCTGGTAAATGGTACATTAAAACCATGGTAAATGGTACCTTAAACCTTCTGGTAACCCAGAAGGTTCCAAGGTTCCATTACATCCTTCTGGTACCATTTACTCAGAAGGTTTAAGGTACCTTCTGGTAAATGGTACCTTAAACCTTCTGGGTAAATGGTACCTTAAAACCATGCTGAGTTAAAATGGGCTACAATTAGCTCCAAATACCACTCTGTTATGCTGAAAGAATTAAATTTTATATGCCTTCTCCCACCATAAAATATCAAAAATTTCCTTTTCTTGAAATCTCAAGGCATCGTAAGTGGTACATCAAAGCTAAGGTACATCAAAACTATTGAAAAAAATGAACAGTAAACTTTGTTAGAAAGCTAAACAAAGTGGATGAAAGCGTTATACGAATCACAGAATTGACATTAAATGAAATACTCTGAATTTGAACTGCTAGTAACTGTGAAATAAATTCCATTATGTTTTTAATGTTTTAATTATATTTTCAATATAATTTAAATAAAAAATTATAAAAGAAGCCAATACTTTGATTTCCTTTTTCATGATTTTTTTTTAAACCAGGTCGTCTCCCCTTATTCATACAAGTCTGTTTCTTATTTAAAGATTTTTTGTTTTCGAACATCACGAGTTTCCAAAAGAGAATTTCAAATCTTAATGAATAAATCAATTACTAATTAAAAAATCCCAGAATCTCAAGAAGATAAAAAAGTTTAAAAAACCAATAAGTAAACTCTAAAAAAATTTCTCTACAACTTTTATAATTTCAATAAAATGCACAATAATACTAATTTTGGAGAAACAATAAATAGACCAACAAATTTCTTTATATTTTTCTATACTCGTTTTGGAAAAACAATACATCTAAAAAGGTATGCAAACCTTTTCAAAAATACAGTATAATAAACATCAAGACAATATTTTATCAAAACAGTTAAAAAACTTATTCTCACTAGCATTATCACAAACAGTTAAGTTTTAAATAATAACAAGCACAAATACAAGGTGATGCATGAAAATTCAGACCATACAGCCTGCTACAAGCTTCCAATATTACAATTCGTAGTTGAATTCTTTTTTAAGCTCCTTCACATTTAATTTTAAATGTTCTTTCATGGTTTTTATACTGACAATGGAAAAGTGTGCAACTATTACAATAATGATGCACATGAGATGAGCTATATTCTGTTTGTAAATGTATATGGGTTAACTTTTTTATCTTCTAATTAAATGAATAAGTTTATATGGCCAAGATTTTCAGCCTCGATAAGCTGTGTTCGAATAATGTAGGCTGGCCATTTGATGTGAGTCACAGTGAAATGAAATTTTCCAAGAAGGAAACAGGAGAAGGTAGACAAACAGGAGGTAGATCATTGTCTTAGGAGCTGATTCACAAAAGTTCATTGTCAAGGACTGCATGCTTCTTGGATGTCACACATGAAAACAGAAAAATAGGGAGTAAAACAATCAGGTGCTCCACCCTAATCCTACTGAAAGAGACTTGTAAACACAACAAACAGATAAGCGTATATACCGGGTACTTATAAAATAAGTATCTCTATTTGGAGCTGGTTGTAACTTGAAGGAATAATCCGAATGAAACCAAAATTGGCACACTTAACTAATAGAGAAAGGGAAAGAAGAATGGAATAATAAAAAAATTAGTTGCAACATTTGCTGACAGATGGCACTGCCAGTGCAAATGTCATTGCAATCATCAACAAAATCAAGAAGTGGTCATTTCTGCCAGTAACACGGTAAGAGATGCTGCTTAGTTTGCTTTGCTAAGAGATGCTGCTTAGTTGCACTTAACCCTGCAACTGCTTTATGTGAATTTAGGCATGTGAAAGGAATGAATACAGGAAAAGGTCCTCTGACACTGTGTTCAGTGAGAACGATGGTAAAAAAAAAATTCAAAAAGACTAGACCATTTGTTAGAAAACTTGGAAGGGGGAATAAACCATTACCTCTCCCCATACAAGATGAAATTGCCACTGCAATTGTGGAGTCATCAGGGACTTCAGAAGTTGGTCCTAGTGCACGTGGAGTTGTTCAAGAGTTGATATTATGGTAAAAAAATCCTGAGAAATGTAATCCAATTTTACCTGTATAAAGTTAGTCGTCATGAGCAACTTGCTACCCTATGGGAAAAAAATGGTTTTGGAGATGGGTCGGCTACATCAGTTGTCTCCGTTAGCTCAGATAAACCCCAGTGAGAACAGCCCCTAATGTGTACCATGGAGGTGTCACAAACTTCAATGACCTAAAAAATCGCATAACACAACATGTGCGAAACATCACTCCTGATTCATTACATTCCACAGTTAAGAGCATTGCCACTGCCTGGACTGTGTCCCGCAGCTGAATGGCTATACAAAACTTGATTGGCACCAAAATGAGAAGTGTAATCACATTATCTGTAACATTTTTCAATTAATTAGGTATGCCTTCCGATTTTCATTCTTTGGTCTTGTAATATATATTATACATTCAAAAGCGCCATCTGTCAATGATTGTTGCAATTAATTTTTTCATTATTCCATTCTTCCCCCTTCTTGATTAGTAAGTGCACCGATTTTGGTTTCATTCACATTTTTTTCAAGCTACAGACAGCTCCAAATAGAAATACTTATTTTATAACCACCAAGTACATATGATGCAGCAGTGCAGATGAAACATACAGAATGTACAGAGTGAATACCTGACATGGTTATGGTTAGGTTAGGTTATTCAATTACGGCAAAGCCTCGAGGGCTATCTGCCTATGGGTAGGGATGCCTTCGTGCAGGACTTTCTAAGGGAAACTGGCTCGTATACACGTTACATATGGGGAAAACCACGAAAACACCCATGCAGCCAGCACGTTTTCGGCATTCGAACCTCGGACCGAACTACCAGTGTTCAGCGACTTTACCGCGGTGGGCCGAATACCTGACATGGAAAGACATGGCAAAATGGTGATTGCTAAGCCTTATGCACTATGAAAGGCATGATACTACGATCCTCAGGAACAACTTCAGAATTTAATAAAGCCAAAAATTTACCTTTGTTGGAATTCAATACAGCAGCTAAGAATTTTTCATTGTACTTCTGTAGGTAATCTGTAATGTAGTTAATTTTTAAACCTTATAAAAGCCTTTTTAAACCTGCTTATCAATTTACACTACCTGATATTGAAAATGCAACACCAAGAAGGAATGGCCAGAAGGTGATGAAACTCGACAAACGGAGAGAGACAGCAACAAACAATAAGTGATCTTTGTTTCAAAATGGTATGTATAATATATATAGAGAGAGACCAGCATCAGCTCATTAGATTGTAGGACAACCTTGGATGGCAATACATGAAGGAACCCTTCTAGGTAGAGTCAATGAGACTATGGATGGCATCCTGAGGAATGGCTCTTCATTCCCTGTCAACCATTAGCCACAGTTTGTCTTCTGAACACGGCAATGGCATGGTCTGCAAATGGCGTCCAATCACATCCCAAATGTATTCGATTAGCGAGAAATCAGGATAGAACAGTGGCCAGAAAAGCATCTGTACAACTTGCACGGCACATTGGCTGATGCGAGCAGTATGTGGTCGGGTGTTATTCTGCTGATGAAGGGCACTGGGCATTCCCTGAAGGTAGAGTAGTGCAAACGGAAGATACAATCATTCACGTATCGCTGGGCCATCATACTGAAGTGACCTGAAATCTTACACAATTGCACCCCAAACCATGATGTCATGTTTCACAATTGCTGCTGGATTGGACCTGTCCCCACACTGATGACACATTCGTATGCAGAGACTACCATTGGAAAACAGAAGCATGACTCATCTGAGAACACAGCCCTTTGCCATTCTGCTGTCCGCATCGCTTGAGTCTGGCTGCATATATGCATTCTGTACTGCGCCACACACATAGGAAAAAATCTGTACTTGTGATTGGACATACTTTCAGATGATATCATTTCCTCTTGACGTAATGACGTTTAGGAGGGATTCTTACAATTTTGCTTCCGCTGAATGACGCGCATGAGTGCCACAGAAGTTTTTCTTTAAAAAGGAAAAAATTAGCTGCCGCATTCTGCAGATGGCTTCCTGTTTCATGGAATAATAAAATCTTTCAAAGAAGCTGTAAATATCAGAAGCAATCTTAAGTACTTAGATTACATAAATAGATGAGTTCATGAATTTAAGTGCAAAAACTAAAACATGACCATCTTGATCCAACTGTAAAGGCATTGTGTGCTAGTAAGTATATTATTATTATTATTTCAGTTTTGTTCATTCTGTTTCTTTCACATTGTAGAAAATATTTCTTTTGCAAATGCTATGTTATTTCGATGTTAATGTCCATGTCATTCTAATATTCTGTTGGCTTAAATCAAAGAAAAATGTGCATTCAGTACTGTCGCTGAATTTAATACCGCGTGTATAAGAAAAGAAATTTCCTTCTCTGACAAAAACTAATTTTATGCAAAGCTACAAAAGATGTTACACATTAAAAATAGCAATATTGATAAAGTAGTATTCAATTTAAAATACATATCTTTATTTCTATGTTCCAAATCTGTATTAGTGTAACTTCAAAAATAATTTTTACATTTTTGGACTGATTACAAATATTGTGAATTTACTCTGAACTATGTTAGCTTCCGACGCTGTTATTTGCTACTACCAAAAACTGACTTGTCTCATGCTTTCGGAGATTACATCAGCAGAGAATGGATATATAATGAACATGAAATAATTAATTAATAATAACACCTTTAATATGAAGGGTTTTAAATGATGAATACATTTATTAAAAATCTCTGCACTTAATACACATTTATGGAGAAAATGCACTTAATATAAATTTACTCTCTACGGAAAAAAAAAATCACTAAATTTTCTCGGTACTGATATCAATATACAAACAAAGGATTGGAGGTGTACCCTCGGGGCTCAATTAAAGTCAAGGCATTCCTACACCTAAAGGAAATGATGTCATCGGAAGCCATATCCAATCATGAGGAGGGATTTTTCCCTATGTGCAGAGTGCGGTATAGAATGCTTACATGCAGCCCAGCACCATTGCAGATGTTGCGTCTATGATATGGGGTCAATGGCTGTCTTCTTAACGGACACCACAAGTGCAGGCCACTGGCCAAAAATCAACAGGAAATGGTTCTGGTCGATATGGGAGCATCCAGAGTGTCTTGAACATGTTGCATAATGGAGGTAGAAGTGGCTTGCATGTGTGCCACTACTTGTTGGTTGATATGTCGATCCACGAGTGCTAACGTCACTCTAGTTGCACCGGCACCCCTCGAATCCCCCTTATTTCCTGGTTTCAACTATCGTCCTCAATGCCGGTGCGCTGAGAACGCAGCTAAGTGTGTGCCAGCTGAGATTTGCCTTATGGAACAATTCGCCCTTCTCAGTCTGATCACCATGCTTCTCGGAAAATTGTTGTCTGCTGGAACTGCCTCGGTTGATGTCTGGCATTCCCTGCTATTACACACATCATCCGAGACTTGAACAAATTTTCTATGATTATTTCCCTAGCTGAAATAATGGCACGAAAATGGAACATTCTGCAGGTTCCTACAGTTAAATCTGTTGGCGTCGGAGCAGTCGCAAAAGCATACTTTGCATTCCTTAAATAAACACCGGGAATAATATAAATTTAAAACTAATCTTTATTTCATGGCCTTAAATAAAATAAATGAGGCTGCAACAGTAGACGTTACATTAAAAACAACAAAAGAGAAAAGAAAACCAGTGAACTCCCTTAGATTCACGATTTTTGCATATATGTACACAACATTGGTCAACCCGCCGATACTACGTCATCGGCCAACCAGTGGCAACCACGTTAGTTAATCACCAATTGACTTCTGAATTAATTTGCATGAGGAAAACAACAGAACATTAAGTCAACAATATCTTCTTCAACGTGCACTTGAAAGCTGTGCATTTCACATCATTCGCATAATTCGGTGACACGCGTTTGTCTAGAAATTTGCATAATTTTCAGGCCATTCCTTTTTAGTACTGCATTTTCAATGTCGGATAGTATATTTCTAACATATAAATGAGTTCTGGTGACAATTTTAATTATCTTATTTTGAACTACCTGCACCTACAAGTTATGCTTTGCAGTTGAACTACCTGCAGTTTTGCTTTGCGATTTCTTGCCTACCTGGGCTTCAGTCTTAGTGAATGAAGCCCAGGCAGGCAAAGCATAACACATGATTGGTCTTATAATGGTAAGACAGATTTATGTCTTCCTATACAAGCTGAGGTCTGAATTTCTGCCAAGCAAAACATGAAATTGACCTGCTGAAAGTTGGGGGCTTTCACTGATTTTTTTTTGGAATCTGTATCTTTGTCGGTTTTAGTAGTAAGGTAGTCATCTTGATTCTCATTGACCAGTGCTTTGCTGGGTTCCTCCTCCACTGCCTCTTGATTGATAGGGGCACATCCAGCAGTTTTAGCCTTCCCTTAAATGGTGCTAGCTGAAATATCAATGTTTGCGATCTTTCCGTGCAAAGATCTCTTAGCAAATTCAGAAAGCTTTTAGCAAGCTCAAAATTATGCAAGTCTTCATCAGTTTTTTACTCAGTGCAGCTAATCAATTTGATGTAGCAATTCCTGCACTTTCAACATCATGCTCATTAAGGCTTTTTACTTGTCTTTTCATGGGACAAAATCTGTCACCAGCACTTTACAAATTATTTATCTCTCTAGCGGCTATTTCTCGATCTTGGAATATTTAAATTTTAATACTATATTTTTTTAACATTGCCTCACTTTTGTGAAGCAAGGTCAAATTATTATTCATAGCCCTAGTCTCCTTGTCATTAAAGCTGCCGATAGTATACTGCATTAACAGCAAATAAATTCAACATTCTCTATTTGCTTAAGAAGCCAGTAAAATCTGCACCCCACTAAAAGGCTCGGAACTTTTCTATAGATGGGTAAACAGATTCCTAGAAAGCCACTAATAAGAACATGATGCTTGGGGGTAAATATGTAGGTGTTAAATTAATGGGTAAAAGAACAAAATTAAATTAAAAATTAAAACCAGGATAACAATTAAAATTGTTCTTTAGCAAGCCATGATGGAGTAGTGATAAGCAATGTAACCAGTTACACTTGTCAAGTCGCCATCATCCAGCAGGCAAATGCAGATGATTTTTCATGTGGTACCTTATATTTACATTTCTAAGTTTTTACCTAATAAAAAGGCTGTAATCGATCTCCACAGAAATTTTTCCTGAACGTCTTGGTTTTATTTTTCCTAATAATCTATCACATAGATTTAACATGAATTGGGCACACTTTTTATTATCAGTATGCAATTTCAAAAGTGAATAGCACAGCTGAATACTAGGTGCCTGAAAAGAAAAAAAATACTTTTCAAACACAAAACTTTTCAAAGCAAATCAATTTTATAATTCTAAGATACACAAGGTACGTGCATAAAGCAACCAGACAATTTCTTATAAATAAGAAAAAGATTATTAATCTTAAAATAAATTTATCTCTTTTAAAATATTTGCTAGAGAAGTGTATACATTTTTTTTTCACCGTTTCCTCAGGTCATTCAAAACTGTTTCTGGATGCTGGAACTAACCATTCGCAAAATACACATACCATTTGATTTAATGTTGAAGACATTTTCAAATCCGTCCTTTCATAGCCATCTTAATCTTCAGAAAAAGAAAAAAATTAGCTTGCATAAGTCGAGAGAATATGGTGGGCGATTTATCACTGTAGTTGAATGCTTAGCAAGATATCGTTGTCCAGATAATGCTGTACGAGGCCTAGCATTATTGTGCAAAAGAAACCATTGCCCAGCATAAAATGCTCCTTCCTAACTCCTCTTACCTCGTTTAATTGAAAAGCACCTCCTAGTAAAAATACTGACCAACTGATTGATTTTCAGGAACAAATTCAGAATGAATAAGTCCTTTGTAATTAAAAAAATTCAATCAGTTCTTTGATTAGTTTCTGATTTAATCTTTAAATCATATTTTTTGGTTTTGACATTTGTGTTCCCCTTTTTTATAAGGAAGAAGATGGTTTTTTTCTACTGTGCACCTTGTCTTTTTGTTTTCGGGTGGTACAGTAGAAACCAGGTCTGATCTCTTGCTATGATACACTTTAAGAAATTTATGTCCTGTCTCACAGTCGTTAGCAGATCTCCACAGCAAGCATTTTCTGCATTCTTTTTGCTGCTCTGTCAAAATTAAGGGACGAACTGAGCACAAACTTTCCTCATTTTCAGATTTTCAATTAAAATTAACCTCCAGCTTTCTTTGCTTATTCCAAGCATGTCTGAAAATTGTTGAGCCATTACACATATATCAGCTTTTATCTAAGGAAAAAATTTCTATACATTTTCATCATTCTTTGAGGTTGAAGGGCACCCTATCTTTGGTTCATCCTCAACACTTTTGGGTCCATATTTCAGGTGGTTGTACAATTCATGTAGTTGTGTTCTAAATAACAATGCATCACCATATACTTTTTGAATCACCTATAATGTTTCAACTACAAATTTACCTAATTTGTAAGAAAATTTAATGTTATAACATTATTCCATCTCAAATCAAATTTTTTTGTAAAATATTTTTTTAGTATATGAAAATGACTGGCATTTGGATGTGCAAATGAGAAAATAACCAGTTTAAACTGGCTTTAACAAGAGTTGAAATATCACTCTTTCTAAATATACATTTATTCTAGTCTTTTATTTTATCATTTGGTCTTTTAATTTGGCTGATTGCTTTATGGGTGCTCTTTGTTATACAAGGAATATTTGTAAAGAAGTTTAAAAAATTAAAAATAAAAATGTATATTTAATACATACAAAATATCCCACATATTCAATTAAAAAAAGGGGGGACAATTTCAAATTAAATATTAAGACAATAAGTTATTGTTAAACCAATTAAAAAATTAGCATATATGCCATACAATTTAGTAAAGAAAATGAAATTTTAGGAATCTAAAGCAATTTTTAAAAATAATAGCAAATTAATTAAATGCATGAAAACAGTTATAGATTTTTTGAAATGCTTATATTACAAAATATGCCAAATTCACCTGCACTAGAGTTTACAGTAGTCAAAATATTTATCAAATGATGAACTTTAAATAAAAAAGTGCTTCAAATTCAAAAATAAAAACATTTGCAATATCACAAATGTGTCACTGATCAAAATAGTAAGTAAATATAAGAAGCAAACTATTTATTAAAATGCTCTAATGTACTGTAATTAAGTGATCAGTCAGTTATCTTCATAGATCATCCTACTCTATACCTCAAATACTGGAATTTATTCATTACAGTGAACTAAATATTTCTTAATATTACAAAGGCATTTAAATTATATTTTTAGCAGTAAAGACAGAAAATGATATAATAACTGTGATGACTCAAGAAAGGATTGTAATATCCTACTTGCTTTCCTAAATTTGTCATATGGCCTCATGTCATATTTTGCTATTAAGCATTTATAACCATGAAACCCGAGAAGTGTTTGTGGCCTACATGAAAATAAGCTCTTCAATTTATTTTTTTACAGCTTGGTAAATACCTACTTCTCAAAATGTTTCAGGCAGTCATCTCACAGTTGCTTTGCTTTCATAAATTAATCGACCAAATTGTTTATTAATTTATTACAACATACAAATTCTATCGATATTCCCAAAGGCAGTCTTTCAAGCTTTTCTTAATTGAGAAATTTAAAAGTAATAAATTTATTTCTTAGCAATTTATACTTTATCCTAATTGTCATGATGTATTTAAAATATCCAACTGATAATTTTTATAACATTTGAAACATTATTGTAATTAATCATAAATTATTTACCTCAGTATAGAACTATGCATTTCCAAATTACAATATACATGTATATAAGTGCACATGGATTTTATGCCTATAAGAAGCAATGCAGAGGCTTTTCTGAAGAAAATTAGCCAGTGTCTGCAGTACGAAAACGACCCACTGAATTGTCAGGAACAGAAACAGAGGCAAACTTTCATTATTTCAAAACTTTAAGTACTCGGTCATTGGTAAACTGAGTCACATTTGGAACAACAAATAGGAATGACATACTACAACTATAAATTATAACTTCTGTTTGCAGTATATTAATCTTAACTGATATTTATTGTTTCCCTTATTTCATAATATGATCAGTAATGTTTTAAACAGCTTTCTATTTACAGTCAGTTAAATTTTGAGCTGTATTTGTAGAGGTGCCAGTGTACAAAAATTGAATTAATAAAAATGAATGCTGAGTTAAAATTTCAACTACATCTATAGTTACTATCAGACATCCATTTGTTTTGGAGAACAACTGTTTCAAACAACTTTCCTACCAGCTTTAGCATTGAAAGAAAGATGCAAGATATTTTCCTTTCTTTTCTTCCTTTCCTAAAACTGTAAGTTGTCTGTTTTGAACAACCAACCATCAGCATCAAATCCCCCACCATCGTAACAAAGAACTAGCTTACCCTTTACATGGTAAATCCCTTTACATGGTTATCAAATTATACATGGTGATTGGCTGTTTTACATTATGTGACAAACAAAAACTGCACTAAACAGTTGGTCTTCCAAAATGTTTTCAATGTGTGATAATGACATTATTAATAGATCTGCTATCTAACTATCTTCCTCTTTGTTATATAGGATGGCTAATAAAAATACAAATGTGCTTATCCAGAGAAATCACCATCTATTAAATTTCACTATCAAAGGAATCTTTAGCATAACATGTTTACCAGAGCAATATATTTATCTACTCATTTCAATAGATAACATGAGGTATTTATAGAGATTTCCCTTAATCACTTCACAGGGTGTGGTAATCCCATACACAAGGTGTGGTATCTTACACATTACAGCAATTACTAAATACATATAGCTCTAATTTGTACTTAGAATTAATATCTATAATACCATTAACTTAAAAAATCAGTAAAATAATATATAGTACAAAATTATATTAAATCTCATTTCAGAAGCTCAGCTGTTGAATGCTAGCTTTTAAAATACCTAATTTTACACAACTAGCAGATACTATGCTAATGTATTATAACTAAACTACCTTTTTTATTTCTAAGTTAGAAATCATGATTTTCAAATTTAATTCTCTCACAAAACAAGCAAATTTTTTTCATAGATAAATTAATAATATAATCAATTAAAAAATAATTCATTTTTAAACCTACAAAAGAACTTTAGTTTGCCAACTCTGATATAAATTATTTACATAAAGAAAAGGAAAAGTAAAGACAGCTTTAATTTTTTTTTATGAATAGAAAAGCATAAAATTTATTAACAACAGAAATAATAACATACTGATAAAATAATGGCTTCCACTACATTCAAACAGCTGATGTAATAATATACAGCTAGAATAATAGGTTGCAATACAGTAAAAATATAAAAGTTTTAACCACCTTTTTTGATACTATAAAAATTATTTCATTGACTTTTTAAAGAACTATTTCAATACATTCAGGACAATAGCCCTTAAATGGAAGGAAAATATTTTCTAAATAGAATGTTTCAAATTGCAACTGAGAAGTTAAAAATAATAATAAAAATAATAATATATTATTTTGCAAATGACTTTAGGATTCTGACATACAGCATTCATTATTTAACTCACAAGCATTACGAGTTTGACTCTGAAATCTTAAAGGTCTCCAAAAGGTATTGAATAAGTGGTTTATATATATAACTCCAAAATAACCCTCTTACACTGTGGTTGATTCCTTTTCTTCCAATATTCTGAAACTGAATCCTTCAGAAGCTGGCAGAAATTTTCATGTGTAATGTATTGGAAAGTGATCCTACTATATGAATTTTATATCCATAACCTTGAAGGTTAGATTTAGAAATGCATCTTGATTTTTCTATTCATTCCAAATACTAATTTAGCAAAGGGATTACTTCCGATTTAAATGTCATACCTGTAAAATTAAAAGCTATCTCACTCGTTTCAGAGCCGTATAGTATATGTTAGTGTTTACACTAACTATGCAATAAATTTGTACCTTTGAGAGAACTGTATCTTGCCAAACAAGATACTACTGTTTTTCAACTAAAAATGCGAAATTTCATTCACTACAACGGCTGCAACACCATCTGGTTACTGCAATTATTTAAGGGTTGAATTTATATTTTAGATCTAAATTTAGGAAGCAAATGTTGCAAGTAAAATCATGTAAAAATTATTGTCAGTTAATTTTGCTAATTCCTGAAATAGCAAATTAAATAAATATGATCATTTTGGATGCTTCATACATGAGACTGAAACTATGTATTTTTCCAATGCATCAATGCTCATAATCAAGTTTACATAATTATTTCCAAAGTATTAATTTATTACTATTCTTATTTTAAGAGATGGGATAAATAAATTTTCTTAAAACCAAGCCCAAGTTTTAAACGGTCTCAAAAATCTACTGAATCCTTCACATCAAAAAAAAAAAAAAAAAAAAAAAAAAAAAAGAAAAAAAAAAAAAAGGTCTTTTGGTCAATATTTTAATTAAAGCAAAATTTTAAATTTGTGTTTAATGAAAACAAACTTATACATATAATTTAATTAAGAAATATATTGATATTTTTTAAGAAAATATCAATGAAATATAGTAAATGAAGTACATAATTAAGTTTTTTATATCTGAAGGTTCCTTCTCACAATACAATTTGACAAAAAGTATTTGAGGAATAGTTTGAGATTTATACATTTTTTCAGATTCTTCTTAAATCAAAGCTATGTTAGTGGGGAGATGATTATTTAAAGAGTTAATGCAGGAAAACACCAAATTCTCTCAAGAAAATTAAAAGTATGGCATTTAGGGCACCTGCAAGATGATATAGATTAAACAAATTCCCCGAAACTGCACTAATCTTGTTCTGTCTCAATGAATGGATATCAATAAAATCAGTCTTCCTAAAGTTGAGTTAAAATAATTATCAGTTCTTAGGTTAATAGTTGAAAGATTTAAGTAATAAAAGATATGCAAAGATTTCAGCTATCAAATCGAATTCCACAAACCTTAAAAAAGATTCCTGGGATCTGAATACCCCATGAATGTTTGAATGAACATGAAAGTTTTTCAATGAGGAAAAGAAAATATCTGTTGACCCACGATAGTAAAATAAAATATGGCATTTCCTTTCACCTGATGAAAGCTTTTTAAAATAGCAGTCATATACTAAATAAATGTAATATACTTATAAAAATGCATTGGATTTTTTAATTTATGTTTTAATAAAAAGTTTATATCAGGTTTTCAGGTTAAAACTGAATGTAAAAGAACAGACAATAGCTTTTTAGAACTAGCAAATTACGTCAAAACTAATGAAAGTTAACTATTTTTATATCCCGTATGAACTTTTACAGCTTAGATTTTAATTTTGCTTATCTCGCACCTGAAAATAATTTATGCATGTTTATTAGAAAGTAAATATTTATCTAAAAGTAATTATGTTGAATATGATTCATTTTAATGCTACTAATATAAACTGCTTTAATTGACTATTACTTTAATCTACAGTGTTTAATCTTTTGTTGTGGGTGAAAGTTTCTTCAATTACAGCATTAACCTACCATTACAGTTACATACAAAAATAATGAATATAAACTTTTTAATTATAAAATTTTATATTTTTCAGTTGAAAAAATATAAATTACACGGTATGCCTTAAAAAAATAATTTTATTTGTCCACATTGTAGTTTCAAAACAATGCTTACATATTCTAGACACAACTTCACTGATGTCTTTTCTGAACTAAGTTAATACTAAAAACCAATACATTAAAAGCATTGTGATTTACTACTCTATCACAGTAATCATGGTAATTTTAATTATTAGCACTGTAATCACTAATTTTAATTAATAATAAAATGCAGTTAACATTCTAACACAATTCTACAAAATAAAGTTTTTAAATATGAAAAAATTTTCATTATAAGTATTTCAGAAAAGTTTACTCGCCTGTTCATACGAAAACTCATTTCTAACAGATGTATTTTGCTCACTGTCTGACGAGAGCATCCATCGAAATGTCTGCTGATTACTATGAACACTGCTTGCTCGTCTTCTCCCTCCAGAACTGTCCACCTGATAAGGTGAATTTCGGGGACTTGAAGACTGCACTGTTAAAAATTAATCAGTTTAATCCTGTGTAAAATCTATCAGTTAAATTTAACTGAAAGATTATCTGCCCATGTGTTTATTATATGAGTAATATCTATAATGGTATGCTGCATATGAAATCATCAACAAATGTAGACATGGACAAGAACAGGAATCAACCAAAAAAAAAAAAAAATCGAGGACTCTGCAACAAGTACAAAGTTCAGAAGCTGCAGTCTGACAGAAGACATAACTGTGAATGAAAAGTTATCAACAACAGTTTTAATTTTCTCAAGTCTTTTAGCTAATTCAGTTTTTGAATTTTTAAATACTAACAACTTTCTTTTTAGAGCCCAACGTATGGACTGCATGCAGTCTTTTTTGAGATTGCTACTCTTAAAATACAAAAATAAACAAAACAGCAAGTGCATATCTTTTTTAATTTTTAAATGAAAATGGACTGTGTGTTATTTACTTAGTTATATTTAACTGAGTATTTTTAAGACCAAAAGCAACTAATAAATTATGTTTCAAGAAATGAAACATGAGAAATTACACTGAAATTATAAAAATTTCATATTAAGAGCAATAAAACAATCATTCTGTAACACTCTCTGAATAAATTCATATAAATTAAAAATATACAATACTGACCAATATTTTTTTACAACATACAGAACCAACTGTGTTTTAATATACTGGCTACTCAGTTATCAGCTGATAGCTAACTTAGCCAAGAGCATGCAGATGGAATGCATGATGCTGTAATTAGATATGCAATATAAATGAAAGTAATTTAAGTAGAATTTTGTAGTTTGCCTATCTAAAGGAACACTCCAACTCTTCAAAAGTATTCTCTGTTCATGACACTTTTTTTAAACATTTACATACATTTATAATTCAACGTTATTCTTACAAGCATAAAGAAAATAAAATAAAGGAAAAATGTAGACAAAGATCTTGTATTCTTTACAATTGCTAAACTATCTAACCAGACAGAGATATACCAGTATTTAAAAACAAGAGCTCAAATATTATATTCATAAACTTTAATAGATGCAGTAGTAATATAGCTTACATTACAGAGGTCAATAAACACTAAATTTTGCATATGGTTTTTGATATATTATTGTCAAGTTTGTGCATCATTTGTCATATCTTTCCAAGATCCTGCAGCCCAGAAGCTCTAAATGATCAAACATCAATGAATAAAGTATTAATTTTTGAAGAAGTTTCATTCTCAACCATACCGACTATTTAAGACTTTCAGTTATCACAGGAAAAGTTAATTCATTTGCTAATAATTTATGCGACTGTTGAACATTCTCTTAAATATTCCATGAATTTCTGCTTCAGATTTTGAGTTCCAATGAGCAAAATCTTTAAGATAAGTGCTTTCGATTTATTATTGCTTTGTTTTTGGTTTATGTTTTGAAAAAGATTTAAAATTGCATCCCCAAGATAGCTATTAACTGGTACAAAAGCAAATATTTAAGAGTATTAATACTCTCAAGTGTGTAGTAGTAGTTATGTTTAAAGTGATACATGACTATAAAAGAAGATTAGACACACATCAGATAATTTTTCACATTTAATTGATTGAGAAGCACAGCCCAACAGAGGTAGACCAGAGCACTCTGGATTTATACCAGTAGACATTTTTTAAACATTTGAGGATATCTTATGAATAAAATTTAAACTTACGATATTTTTTTTAAAAATCAATAACGTGAAACAAAAAGGTAAGTAAACCACGGGCCAATACGTGCAAACAATGTCACATATAAGGGCAATTCAGAAACTAACCTCCATTTTGCAGTAAATAAAAAACGTGCATAGACTCAACAAATGTTTTATTTACAACTGAAATGCACAGCTGTCCTCTATTTTTCAACATACTCACCATGTAAATTCAAGCAATTGTCACAGCGTTTTACCAACTTACCAATTTTCAATAGCAGCACACATTTTGTGACTTTTTAACCCTTTGCGGCACAGTGTGTCTGGTCTAGACACACCTAAAAATTTCCTTCTGTACAAACAGAAAAATTGAATGAAAAAGGATTTATAGGTTACTATAGGTTTCTCTGAACCTTCTTTATTTATAGAAGATGGCAGATTAACACAAACCAGTCCATTGTATTTTAGCCATGTTTAATTTTTTTAAGACCCTCATTTTTCAAAGAAATCTTCCAAATTTTTTTAGGGTATAAAAAGAATTGTTTGAAAAGAAATTTCTATGTTATTTTTGGGCTGTATGCTAATCTCCTTATTCTATATTAGTTTTAAATTTTTACCTTGAAATCTTGCCTAAAATCAAACGGCGAACCCTAGGTGTGCCCAGAACGGGCTCACCGATAATCTAGGACAACTGAGAGTTTATATTCTTTGTTTCTCTGCATCTCACCGGTCAGTTCATTGACAACGATGAACACTCTTTTTGAAGCTCTATTCAATCAGTGTGCCCACTTTGAGCACAAACACAGAATTAAAACGATAAGTGCTATCTTCACAAAATTTTACTTGTGTGCTCCTCTAGGCCTAATTACACTGCCATCCTTTTTTTTTTTTTAAACAAAACTCCAACTTTAAAAGGTAGCATGCCAAAAATGGATAACCAGCACACATGCAGCAGTGCGACACTCTCACTAGGATAGCATGAAGCTTACTGAATCACAGATTGCTTGATGTAACAATGGTTGTGGTCTGTCCACTACTACTAGTGCCACATCACAGTAGATGTTAGTTTCCTAATTGCCCTCATATCATCTCTAAGCATGCTTTGATTTTGGAGATCATTGCATTGAAAAATGTAAACCTAGTTTTATCATATCTTTCCAAGACTAAGACTTTTATTCCCGTTTATTAAAAAAAAAACACTTTTTTTTTAGTCATATAATTTAAACACAACATAACTACTTCTGTATAACCTGATACAAGTTATTGTGGATAGTAAGACCCCCCCCCCCATTCATGTATTTTTTCAGAAAATGTCTTCAATATTATAGCTGATGGCATCTTACAATTACAGTTTTATTCTCCATATCACCATGCAAAGACCTTATTTTGCTATAACCAATTATTTTTATATTAAGAAATCCTTCTGATTTCAAATTCCTGCTAGAATGCAAAGTTAAATGACATATATGCAAATCTAAGGGAATTTGGAAATAGTATTTAAGGAGCAGATTTTAAAAGTTCGCTGCAGGACAGTTAGTTCTGAATTTATGCCGTGTGTCTGAAAGTAGTTGAATAGTTGGTGTGTTAGCCACTTACTTTGGATTATATTGATATTCTAGGCTCAAGCAGTTTAGACTGAGTAGAAGCCAGTCATGTAGCTAAAATTTAATTTATTGTGATTGTATATATTATTTTCTGTTCAAGTTACTTAGCCACAAGTGGTGATTTGAGTGAGTGCATTTTCTGTTATGTTTAGTTAAAATAAAAAGGTTGTTATAACTTTCATCTGCAGTCATCTTTTCTTTCAAGATATAATAAGAATTCGCTACTCTGTCTTTCAGTAGGGTCTCCAAACACACTAGAAGCTCCCCAAACATACTAGAAGACTCTACAAGCATAGATCAGCCAATGCTTTGTTTTTATATTCCTTTAAATTTCATTGTTTCGATTGCACTGAAAACTAAAATGATGAGAATGTTTGTCCTTTTGAAATAAAATTATTATTTTATTATATTTCTAGAATAAATTCTCACTCACTGTTGCTTATAGATTCAAATTATAGATTCAAAAAAGATGAGTTGCTGCATTTGGTTTACATTTGAAACTTCCTGCATGGCAAAATATTATCAAAAATATAGCATTAAGAAACCACACTACAGCAAAGTTACTGCATATGTAATAACTTTTTGTTTTTAACTGAGATACAGCTGCAAATCAGTATTTTAATACTAGCAAAGTACTGAAGAAACACTCGTCATTGGGCAAATAATTAAAATTTCAAATTCGGGGGTGGGGAAAGCCAAATAACAACAATTGTTTACTTTTTATTATTATTATAAGATGTAACATTTCTTTTTCTTGTAAAAACAACTTCAGATAAGTATAAAAAAAATTAGGTGCATTAAGTAATAAATAACAACAAACAATTAAGTAACAATAACAAGTAATAAATAACAAAAACAAAAAAAAAAAAAAAAAAAAAAGCCAGAATCCCACCTGCATATTCTGGATAGAAGTAAAGTTATTACAACACACTCACATTTTGCGATTTATTTCATATACATGTATGTATACTCATAAAATATAAGCTACACTGTGAATTCAAACACCAAGTATAATTGTAATTGCAATTTTTTGTGCATATCATAAAATTATTTTTATGCTTATAATAATGCTTGCAATAATTAACAAAAATAAACAATTTCAGATTTAAAGCTGTCTGCATTAATTTAAAATTTTATATTTATCTTTAATAATTTTTTGTTATTTTCTTATTAGCTTTTACAAAACATTATCATCAGATAATTTTTACATCTAAAATTTTTCATAAAAGAAAATATCTTACTTGATGATAAAACACGATATCGTTTCTCAAATGATGCAGTATTATAAGAAAGACTTCCAGTCATTCTGTAAAAAGTTATAACATATAATTATAAGACAAGTAAAATGCAATGTGCTGTTTCTTCATTCATAATGAAAGTATGAAATGCCATTTAATTAATGCACATATTAACAAATTGCAATATAAGAACTTTGAACAGTGTTAAATTCATAACAAATAACTGTTGATATTATTACATTGATGTTACTTTCTTTTTAATATTTTCTGGAAATTAGCAATCCTCAGCATGAATTAAGGAAATGAGATTTCAATATCCTAAACATGAGAATGATATGTTGCAATATTTGCACATAAAAAAAATTGCAAACAAATGTGAAGTTAATATAACATAAACAAACTATTAACAAACATTCAAGAAAAAAGAGACACACCCCAATGCAAAATTTAAAAATCATGTTTGACATAGCTTTTAATCTTTCATAGCTTCTCTAGCTAGTTTAATATTACAGGCCAACTAGGCTAGAATTCTATTAGCTTCGACTAAATCTCTTAAGTTAGACTTATTAATTAGTTCTTATTTCTCAAAATTTTAAGTTAAGTTCACTAGGTTCCTCAACACTTATTTTAGTAAAATAAAAGGGAGGAACACTAGAAACTATTAACTTCATAAAATGTAATAAAAGGAAGGGAGGTCATTCAAAAAAAAATTCCTTTACAGATTATTTTACTCAACAAGTACTCGCATATGTTAATGATATATTATAATAACACTGACTGTTAAAATTTCCCATTTATATTTCAGCAATTAATCATAACAGTATTATGTGTGTGTGTGATTATGGCAAAGCCTCGAGGGGTATCTGCCTAATGGGAGGGATGCCTTCGTGGAGAACTTTCTAAGGGAAACTGGCTCGTATACACGTTTCACATGGGGAAAACCACGAAAATGCCCATGCAGCCAGCCCGTTCGTGGGATTCGAACCTTGGACCGAACTACCAGTGTTCAGCGACTTTACTGCTCGGCCGCTGGTGGGCCCCATAACAGTATTATGAAAAACGCTTAGAAATTTATAATTTTTCTTGTACTAATAAATGTAATTTCTGGGTGAAAATTTTTCAATCAAAGAAGTGAACACTATACAAGAGCTAAAAATATAAATAAGTAGCAATGACAAAGTCCATTAGATTGTCGAAAAATTATTTCATTGATCATGTATTTGTATATTCATTCATTGATACAAAATGATATAATCATGTACATTTATCATTACTAATTAAACCTCTAAGTAGCATGGCTTTTTGGATCTGCACATGAAGATCTGTGTTTAAAATGCTTCCATTAATTAAGTTTTCATAATTACTTATTTTAGTCTAAGTTTTCATAAACTTCTATTCATTCAGATGATATTTATGCCATTAACAGTAAAAAAGCAAAATATTTTAAATCATAACCTAATAGATACCAAATGACAAAAATCATCATGATCAAATAAAGGAGGTCCTGTTAAACAGGGGGTAAAAGAACAATTTTCTTCATTGGTATTGCACAAGCATTTGTAAAATACTCATTATAATATTAAATTTTCCACACAGTTTATGAAAGTTTAGTTTAAAAATTTCTTTCCTTTTCAACAATAAGTTTGCATTTTAATGCACTGGTACCATTTTAAGTTCTATTACCAACAGGGCTGTTTGTGGGACCCCAAAAAATCCCCTGAAACTTTTACGGACTTACTTACCGACATTTTGGAGTTTCGAGAAGGGGGGTGGGACAAAAATGAAAAATTACAATTATGAAGTATTGAATGACCTAATTAGAAAAGTTCAATGAATTACTTTTTTTTTTGCAAAATTAATAATCATAAATTTTCAAACATATAAACTACTACATTTTATGTAAATATTTTAAATTACCTGAAATAATTCTTTAAAAAAAATTATCTAATTTCTGCTGCTTTTTTTTATTTTCTGATGTTTGTGGGCTTGTCTTTCTTTTGTGGTGAACTTCATAATTGCAGGAAGGTTGACTTTTTATTTTCCTCATTTACAGTTGAAGAAATTTCCTCGAGAACTGCACATGCAGAGGTAGAAGCAGTTTGCTTTCTGCTAATGTAGAAGTTTTTTTTCAGAGACTTTTATAGGTGACTCATCTGAAATACATGTTTTTAAGTCCTCTTGATATGTTTTCCAACTTCTGTTCATATTCAGTAAGAGATCTTTGTGAATTGATGGATCAGTCATTGGATTTTTTGAGCCATATTTTTCACATGAGGTTTCTTTAGAAGCCATTAAATCATATTTAATAGTCTGCACTGCATCTAGGGAATCAATCTTAAGAGAGGTTCTATAGTCAGTGACAAGTGTATCCATTAAGTTGAATGCACTTTCCACTAATGGGCCATGGAAGCAGCTAAGGCAGGCTTTGACCAATTTAGCCAATGTAGGATACTTATAATCATTTGTGAAATCATCTTTTAAATTAAAAACTTTAGACCAATATTTATCAATTGTACACTTGACTTGAGTTCCATTTTCATCAGATGTGTAGAGCATTTCTTTGGTGATACCAATATCCCTCTGGTATAACCTTATTTCAGCTTCTACTTTTGACTTTTCAATATCACTAAAAATATGGGACATAAAAGATGATAATTTTCCAAAAGCTAATATTGTACTGGTTTTACCTCTTAGCTCTGGATCTAATGCTGTAAAACTAATTAAATATGAATTTTTAAGGGGTAATTTCTGTTTCATATGCTGTGCTGTATTAGTATAAGCTTTCATCAGAGAAATTTGGAATTCTTTTGCTATTGGCTGATTTTTTGATAATTTCTTCAGGAGAGTAAAAGCTTCTGCACCAGTATATATTACTTTGCTAGGTAGATGGAATTCTGTATTTGTGACATCAACCTTTAATAAATCATTATAAGATGTGCACTCTATTTTCTGGCTTCATAAAAAAAGTGAACAATTTTGCCATCAATTTATAAATACTGGAATGTATTAAATGAAGCATTGTTTTTTTTTTTTTTTTTTTTTTTTTTTTTTTTTGTTGTTGTTGTTGTTGTTGTTGTTGTTTCAAATAATTTAATATATGTGTTGAACTCTGGTAATACTGCTGAATATAATGCCATATGCAATAAAGCTTTGTTTTGCATAACAAATAACCCATTTAGTATTCTTTTTTTTCCGAGCTAAAGCATCTTTTGTGAGTTGTTGGGAATGCAAGCAAGAATACATCCCTTCAACAATTTTTTCTGAGCTGCAGAAATATTTCTTTTATTGGTACAGTTTCAACATAAGAAATAATCCCTTTATTCAGTTTTATTAGTTAAATAATTTAAAATCCAAGTAGTGAAAATAAAAATGCAATAAGAGCATCCCACAGATCTTTGATTCTTTTCTAAAACACATAAAATGTACACCCCCACCTATGATCTGGTCTCTTCAAGGGCTTAAGTTTTTTAATGGCAAGGGATTCACAGATTTTGAAAAAATTTTTCTCTTTACTGCAGCTTTTCATATCAAAATAGATGTCATCAAACAAATCTTCTAAGTATCTATCAAAACATGAAGCAAATTTTTTTTTTTGCACAGTTATTAGCTGTGTGACATGTGTCACCATCAATATCTAATAAGTGGGGTGCTTTGTTTGATCGTAGTTCTGGTTCAACACCCTTTTTTTTTCCATGCATGGTGTTACATGAGTCCATTAATACACTAATTAAGTTTGCCCATGGAATATTATTATCTTCAATAGTATTAACAACTGCTTTAAAAACAGCTTCTGAATTGCAAGATTCTATCTTTAGAGAGATGCAAAATGATGAACTACAACTTCATTTTGATTGTTGTCATAAAACTGCACCAATATTGCCAGTATACTTCTTGAGCATTGCTAGTACTTTCAATCCAAATTTAGAGAAAATGGAGTCTCCTTTAAGTTTTTAATGATATTTTCCTTAATAGTTTTTGCGAGCCCATATTTCATCTTATAACATGCAGTAGTCCTGGACATTTCCAACGAGTTTAGTGCCGTCTGATCGCGGCTCAATTGTTTGCAGAGTTCAATTAAATTGGGAGCTACATTGAAAGAAAGAATTCTCGGTGATAAACGAAGTTATTAATACCTCTTGGCATGCTTTTCTTGTCACTATATCCAATGGCCGAGCATCAGTCTCCAGTAAGTCATCAGTATTTTTTTTAATTAGCATATTTACTTGAAGTCATTGAATGTCTAATGCACTTTGAATATTTTAAGTGCGTCACAAGTTTTAGAATGATTTGTGAAAGCCTTGAATCCTTTCCCACCATACTTCAGCAGTGAGTTACAAAAAACACAATATGCTTGTCCAGCAACATTTATTTTCTTGCACCATGTGCCGATGGTATTCCCATTACCATCTCTCCGTCCAATCCAATTCCACCTAAATGCATTCCAGACACCTTCTTCTAATTGTATAATATCACTATTTATATAGAGAAATTTCATAGTGAAATTCTCTTGCATACATAAATAAAAAATTATTTCAATAAACGAAATGAAAAATTTACACGTGCATCAATAAATGAAACGAAAATCAATGACAAATAGCTAATACGGCGAAAAATCCCCCTTCTCTACTTATTGGTGCCACGCCAGGAGAGATAAGACCTTTGAACCCAGAGTCACGTGATCGCACATCTGGTCAAACGAAGTCTCTCCCTTTTTTTTCTGCCGTGCCTACTTGCCGAAAAGAATCCAGAAGAGAATGTCCGAGAACCGGGGGAATGAGTCATAACTCGCAATAAGTAAAGAACAAAAAAGAAGTTTTCCCCCCCTTTTCACGCATTATCACTGCCTTTGAGAAAAGAAGGAAAAGTTTTCACCACACACACTGACCTTGCGTTTTTCTTCTCTTTCAAAGCAAACAAAATTACCCAGATCAAAATAAATAATTCATTATTATTTCTACTTCCTTTTGAACGACGATCCCCAGAATTTCTGGGTATCGAAGTTCAAAATCCCCGGAATTCTGGGGTTTTTTCCCGGAGCATAAACACCCCTGTACCAAGTACAAGTTTCTGTACATTTTTATTAACAGCGTTATTAATGTTAAACTATCATTCTTCAAAAATCTAACAAAATGATCTTCAGTAATTAAGTTTTATGTATTTTTAAATAAAGCATGAAAAAAAAAAAAAAAAAAAACTCTGAGACTTATAAATATTTATCTATCAAGGTAGTGATATGATTAAATAGGCAAGAGCTTTCAAATAAACTTGTGAAGATTGAGATATCTTCAGATTATAAACAACTTAACATACTTTGAAATTGCTGCTTTTGGTGATCTGTCATCAAACTAAAATGCTTTATTGAAATAATAGCTGCCAATATGAGTCATATAGGAAACAACAATCAAGTGGGGGGAATATTATAAGTTCTTTAAATGAATTGATTCTAAAAAGGGGGAAAGCACCCTAACGACATGATCATCACTACTTAAAGAAAATAGCTGCAAATACCAAAACCACTGTTATTCTAATCATCAAAATTAAAAATAGTAATATTAAAATTAAAAATAACTGTAAATGCTGACACTGCTACTGCCATAATCAAGATAAAAAAAAAAGGAACAAACTATAAATATAAAATACAATGATCAAACAAGGAAACAGAAAGTTAGCAGTGTTTCTCAGATAAATAAATATCAGTGTTGATAACTGCATTATTAATTATTTAAGAAAACTCTGTAACTTAACTGAGACTATCAAATACATATTTTTTAAATTAAGCAAAAAAAGGCCATCTTAATACCTTTGTGCAAATTTTTGGTTGGTAGCATGTTTCTCTTCCACTTAAATTTTTTCTGTCAAGTATGTAAACAGGTGACAACCAAAGCATCTAATTTTGTTATTACACTAAAATATTTTATATTAAACAAATAAGTCAAGGGGTTATATTTCCAAGTCTTAAAAAAATCAAAACCACATATACATACATGTATTTACTCAAATATTTCTCTCTCTCACGCATTTTCCAGCTTAATCTTTCCAGCTTTTTGTTTCAGAAACTTCTGATTTATGCTAACAATGTAATAATTTACTAACTTATAATAAAGGCTGCCTTATTGGAAATATGACACACCCAAATTTTTAGTAGGAACGGGAAAGAATTCACCAAAAAATATGTTATATATAAGGTTAATCATCTGAAATATTATTTTTATTTTTTCTAAAACAATATAACTTATCATATAGATGTGATACAGCACTCATTAAATGAATCATCCCACTTCTAAACTGTTAACATAAACTTCTACATTTCATTTTTGAACAGCTGACAACATATAACAAATCAGTCTTGTAGAGACTGTAAGAGGGCTCATTTTCTGCTTTTATGATACTGCATTCATTATGTTTTATTTCTACACTGACAGTTTAGTGTATGTATGACTGTTGAAGACCGACTCAAAGAAAAATGCTACTGAAATGCTTGCCAAAACCACTACTTCTAGCCCCATCTGTGGCCGAGTGGTTAAAACTACTGAATACTGGAAGTTTAACCTGTGTTTGATCTCAGGGCTGACTGTATGGCTGGTTTTTGTGGTTTTCTTCATGTGTAACATAAATACCAGTCAGTTTTCTCAGAAAATCAAACTTGCCAACCTCCACTCAAAAATCAGGAGATTTTTTTTAAACAAATTATGAGAATTTTCTCAATGAAAAAAAGTTTTTTTAAATAATAAAAATATGTTAAAGGAAAAAATATTTTCAATAATGAATTAACTATGAATAGTAATTAATTAATGTATGAAAGTTCAGCTATTATTTCTTAAATGCAAATAATGTAAAAATACTTACATAAAAAAAATGTTTTATTTCTTGCACCTTCTAATAATAGAAAAATACTGCAATCAGATTCCATAATCATTAAAAATACTTTAACCAGATCCCTAACCATTGATTCTAAAATATGAATTAATGTAATTCTGCTGTGCAGAAATGTGTTAAGAACATCGAATGATGGCAAAATGGAGCATGCAAAAAACGAAAAAGCTTCATTAAGGTCTGAAGTCAAAAACATAAATTTTCGTTCTTCACAAGATAAATTTAATAATTGGAAAATGTGTCCCTTGTCAATTTTTTTTCTTTTTACTTCCTTGTACGAAGTAAAAAGGAAGTATTGTAATCACGAAAAGTTTCAGGCAGCATATTTCAACGAAAATATCCATTTGACCTCTATCGATGCAATTTAACGAGTTTTTGCGCGACATCTGTACTAAGGACATAAAGACCCTTTCCTCCAAAAAAAAATTATAAAACTGCTTTAAATGAATTCTGAGAGAATTTTTCGTGGTGTCCGCACATAATATATCTTGCTAACTCAAAAAATAGCCTCATAACGTTAAAATTTTGTATATGACGCTATAACATGTGATGTTACCTCGTATTTTGGTAGCAATTGGCCGCACCAACATATATATAATTTAGTAAAATTTAATTTTGGGTAAAATTAATATATTTTTATTATATATCCACTCTGTTACCCGGCTCAGTGATCTCAGTTTCTTTACTTTTGCATGTTTGTAAATTGTGCATTTTTTGCTTTAAAAATAATTGAATTATGCTGTTCTTATCTTCTGGTTTGGGAGGACATTGTAGCATCTAAAAACATAACTTTGAAACTCGTGTAGTCAGAGAATTCTTATAAGAAAAGCTGCTTTTTGTCTTCAACAATCTGATAGAGCTCTTAGAAGCAGAGGCTAAATTAGCTTAATTGAATATGACAAAGCACGCAAGGGCTACCTGCCTAAAGGACAGCTTTTCTTTGAACTAACAACAAGTTATAAATAAGATAAATCCATTACATAAATTAATAATCATCACTACTGATCCTTATCTTCTTTAGATCAGACTAAAATCATCAGCACCATATATGGTCATTTTTCAATTACTGGCTAATAGTATTAAATAATAGTAATTTCCCTGAACACTTACATATTGTAACAGTCATCACAAACTCTAACCTTTACATTTTCATAACCTTCTACTAGAAGTGCATGCTGGGAACAATTAGAGCACACAACACGGCCACAACGGCGACAATGGTGACGACGTGAAAACTAAAAAAAAGTAACATTACTAATATGTCGATAATGAGATTGCTTGAAGCAAAAATTTTATATACTAAGACTATAATATAGAATGATAAAAAAGTTTACAAATGAAAAATAATATACTTCTAAACCTACAGGTGGATCTATAATTAAAAAACTGAGAAATGCATCTATTGGTTATTACATTTTTATAACTCACCATATTGAAACGTTCTTCTTTACAAACTTGACAACGATGAATTTTAGCATCAGGTACCCATTCTTCTTTAGTAGGCACACGTAAAGGCATAATAAAAGTTTCATCACCGACAAGCGTCTCCTCTGTACTTATTATAAGTGTACTAGATGATGACATGTCTGTAAATCAAAATATTAATTTTTTATTAAAAATTACCGAGCAGAAAATAATAATATATAGTGTGTGTATATATATATTCAAAACTATGAATTTTCTTGTGATTTAATTACTTCCACATCCATTAGTTAATAAGACAATATGTCATTTCAAGCTATAATGCAGGTTCAACTTCATATCAAATATCAACAAGGTTTTAAAGCAATTTTCAAATTGTTTTTCACTTTCAAAATCTACAAATTTTGCATTAAATAATAACTGTAGTATAATCTAGGTTATGTTTCACTTAGGTAAAATTAAGTTTAAACATTTTAGAAAATATCACATTATTATTTCATCACTGAAGTCAAAAAAGCGATAATTTTTCTGATGCATTATAGATCCGGTAAAAAAAAACAGATACAAATCTGTTTCTCTTGCACAGTTTGAAATTCAAAGTATGCATGTAAACAGGAATATTAATGAGAAATGTCAAATCATCAAAAATTGCATATATGAATTTGATTTCTTTTAACCCCTCGAATTTGATTTCTTTTAACTAAATAAACTTTTGTATCTTCAAACAAAATTGAAAAGACTATAAGAACTTGCCACTACATGTCAGAAAAGTACACAAACAGTATCAATGTATTCTACATCAGCTTCTCTTAGAAAAACCCATACCTGTTAATAATACAGCAGTTATGGCCATAAAAAATTCATTGCAACTGCATTATCCTTTGAATATTATTCAAATTCATTCTTTATCTGATGTATAATACAATAATAGTTCTTTATTTTATAGTTTCATTATGCAGTTGTAAACAAAAGATACTACACATTTTAAAAAATAAATACATTAAATATCTTCCCACAAAATCATCATCATTTATAATAAATCTAGACAGCAATGCAATTAATAAAGATGCTTAGAAAATTCTTTCAAAGCCTTTTCTTAAATGTTTTAGAAATGAACAAAACACACTTTTTGGGAGTATTGTAACTGAAGAAAGACGGAATGTGTTCTTAATTCACCAGATTTTTTTTTCTTTTTCTTTTTTTTTTTTTAAATCTCCATGAAATGACATCCAATGACAATTCAAAGATGACATCCAATGACAATTCAAAGATGACATCCAAAAATCAGACATCATATAGTTCACATATGATGTTGCATCAGCATTACATCTGGAAATCATTTTCAACATGTCTGCAAATAAATTCATTTTGGCTATCTGTTTTATTTCACGATGGACACGCTGCCACGCCTTCTATTCCGACAAAGCGAAAAGATTTATATATACTCTGAATGATTTACAGTATTTTTACAGCATAATTAAAGAACGAAAACTTCGAATTTTCCAGCAAACGAAGACTTGAAATTGTAAATACATAGCCCAGCTTGCAACATAGTGGGGAAGACTGTATGAATGCCTTATGAAAAGCAATAAAGAACCATTAGAAAGATCCTAGGTAGAGTTCAATTAAATCTTGAAGAAGTTATTACTGTTTTCATGTGTGTGTGTGTGTGATTATGGCAAAGCCTTGAGGGCTATCTGCCTAAGAGGACGGATGCCTCAGGGGACTTTTAAGGGAACTGGCTCTATACACGTTACCATGGGGAAAACACGAAACCCCATGCAGCCAGCCCGTTCGCGGGATTCGAACCTCGGACCGAACTACCAGTGTTCAGGGACTTTACCACTCGGCCGCTGGTGGGCCGACTGTTTTCATGAAAGTCAAAAATACTGTGAACAGATAACCTTTAACTTAAATTTGTAATGACTTACAAAAACTTGAACTGTTTAAGCCAACTTATTTTCTACTGACTGGGCATAAAATTGAACATTCATCACCTTTACTGAGCTCATGAACACTTCTCCAACAAAGAAAAGGTCTAATAAAATGAAAGCAAGATTAATAAAATATATTTGGAAAAAAAATGGAAAAATCAATATGTTCTTAATTTAAGAAATGCTTATTTCTTCAGTAACCCTGAAACTAAGAAGAAACTGATGATATAGTTTTTCTTAAAGAAGCATCCAAATCTAAGTTCCTGCTGGATTTGGGCCATATTATTCATATTTTGAATCATATGTGTTGATCTTGTACAATTATGTATGGTGAAAGCTAAAAGAGGAGACTTAAAAGAAACCTGCACAATTCATATCCCCCTCGAATTCCAGACCGAATGAACTGAATCAGCAATTTTTTTTTAAGATTCTTCAATTTCATACTATATATTTATGTAACTTTTAATTAATAAGTTTTGTTGTTACTTATAATTTACCGTTTGTAATTCTGTTTAATATTTACTTATTAGATCTACTGGAAAGTTCTATCCAATAATGCTATTTAAAATTTCAACAATCACATACATGTTCATTTGACTTGTGTATAAATGTAACGATAAATATATGACTGTCTCTCTTTATCATTACATTTATAAACAAGTGTTCTTCTAAATTATATGAAATAAAAATGTCTCATGTTATTATTTAAGTGAGATACGATCATGTAAACATGGCTACCAATAAAGTTCATTTACAATACTGTATTTTGTACGAATTTCAACAACAAGGACGAAATGTTGCAGAATCGTGTCAAAATTTAGTGAAAGTTTTCGGGGAGATGCAGTTTAGGATAGAAAGTGCAGGAGAAAAATTTACAAAATTTGAAGTTGGTGATTTTGATCTTA